GGCAGCTAGAGCGGCTAATGTGGCGGCTTGGTTGAGTATGATTATGGGATTGCTAGTTTTGATTGTTCTTATGAGTGTGAAGAATTTCTACGCGAGGATATTTAACGATGATTTGAGGGTTATTAAATTGACGGCAGAAGTCATGCCATATGTTGCTTTGTTCCAGATAGCAGATGGGCTTAATGGGAGTTGTGGAGGAAGTTTGAGAGGTATGGGGAGACAGCATGTTGGTGCCGCAGTCAATTTTGTTAGTTATTATTGCGGTGCGCTGCCATTGGGTATCTGGCTAGCTTTTCATGGATGGGGATTGGGAGGACTGTGGGTGGGTCAGTGTATTGCGCTTTATAGTGTTGGTGCGCTGGAATGGATTATTGTTGCGTGGAGTGACTGGGAAGGAGAAGTCAAGAGGGCGTTTGGAAGAATGGAGGTAGATGACCGGATTGAGGCCGGAATCGAGGGATTGGATGTGAGGGAGGAAATATAATGGATATTCATTCCTGTAAAATTGATGGGCTTGAGAGCAGCATCGCCATAGCGTCATGTTAGCTTTAGATAGAGATTTCATATTGCATATAAACACATCCGAAAGTTTAAGCAGTCCAATGGTAATTTATCAGAGATGGCTTTCATCTCTAGCAATACACAACAGCAGCTGCTTGGAGGAAGCGGGTCATGAATAGATGATCTCAACTATTGGTTCAATTTAATCTTGTACTCCTACGGTTAAGAACTCACTCTCTATCTGCTTTCATGAGGCGCTGCTGGAATGCATCTTGAAGATGTTATTGATATGACAGGTACCTAGCTTTACATTGGGGCGCGGAAATATTATCTCATACTTAGACCCTTCGGCGACTACATAGTTTAGACTTGGTAGCCTTGAATCTGAGGCACAACGTCACACCTTCTTCGGATCACTAACAACGACCCTCTCGATTCTGATTGGCTTAAAAAATAAAAGATTAATTAGCAGCACCAACACTAAAAGATGGTTCAGATTTCTCCACAGCACGTGATCGTTATCAATCAAGCCGATAAGACGACGAACAAATTTATTTTGCCAAAATTTATGTTTCGACTATCTTCTCCTCACCACAAGCCTTCACCATGCCTAAAGCAAAGACTGGCAAGCGAAATGCTGCCGCTGCTGGCACACCCTACGAAAAGGCTGCTGCATTAACCAATTCGTTCAAGCACAATAAAGACTATGGACAACATATTCTTAAAAATCCTGGTGTCGCAGAAGCTATCGTAAAGAAGGCGAACCTCAAGCCTACAGATACAGTCCTCGAAGTCGGTCCAGGTACAGGAAATTTGACTGTAAGGATATTGGAAAGCGCAAAGAAAGTCATAGCTGTGGAAGTAGACCCTAGAATGGCTGCAGAAGTCACAAAGAGAGTCCAAGGAAAGCCAGAACAGAAAAGATTGGAAGTTCTTTTGGGTGATGTGATTAAGACCGAACTGCCGCATTTTGATGTGTGCATCAGTAATACCCCTTATCAGGTTTGTAACTTTCCATTTTGTTTCTTTTACTTTGGGTGAAGATCTAACACTCGAACAGATTTCATCACCACTTGTCTTCAAACTCCTCTCCTTGCCAAACCCACCTCGATGCAGTGTTCTCATGTTCCAACGCGAATTCGCTCTCCGTCTCACTGCACGCCCAGGTGATTCACTTTACTGCCGATTGTCTGTCAATGCGCAATTCTTCGCCAAAATCACACACATCATGAAGGTTGGCAAAAATAATTTCAGACCACCCCCACAAGTCGAGTCTTCTGTTGTTCGAATCGAGCCCAAAACAGGCAAAGAGCGTCCAGGAGTTAGTTGGGAAGAATGGGATGGCATGCTGAGAATATGCTTTGTTAGAAAGAACAGAACTATGAGGGCTAGTTGGCTCGGAATGAAGCAAGTACTTGCAATGTGTGAAAGGAATTATCGAGTTTATTGCTCAACGAACAATATTGCTCTTGACGAAACCCCAGTCGAAGATGAAGACGAGGACATGGATTTGGATGATGCCCCAATAGCCGAGGAGGGAGAAGAAGAATGGGGAGGAATGGATGTGGAGAAAGGCGAGGAGGTTTTCGATGAAGAAATGCCATCCTTCTTTCAGGAACTCAAAGGAACCAATAAGCCCAAAACCAAGAGCAAAGTACCCAAAACTCGAGTAGCAGAGCTCGTTCGAGAGAAGATACGCAAGGTTCTAGAAGATGTAACTGAATTGGCTGACACGCGTGCCGGAAAGTGCGATGAGAACGACTTTCTCAGATTGCTGTTTGCATTTAATGAGGAAGGATTACATTTTTCATAATTGCAATTTAGATATTTAGGGATGGGTAAAATGGTGTTTATAGTGTATGTAGGCATGGAGTTGGTGGGAGGTTTACATGGTTCACATATGATTTCCTACAAAGTTGGGATTACTGAATTTATGAACATCTTTATATTTTGCTTCTCAATGGTCTCCAAGAGTGCGGACTGTAGTCCGACAACCAAGAGGTTTTGACCTCAAAATCTAACCAGATAGTTTAAAACTCTTGAAATCCTCAATGCACTTTGAATGCTGCACTGTTTTAAACCATGTAGTGCTTACATCCAGACTGTCAGTCAGAGTTTTTAGTCTCACTGTGCGGAAGCAGGGTTTACGGTGCCTGAACAATGCTTCACATACCTACCTAGGTACGACATGTTTGCGTGAATGCTCCTTAGTCGATCTAGGTATCTGTCCATCGAACTCTCGGGTGGGCATCGTAGAGACATACTATGAATTTCACATCAAAGAGTGCATCGCGGGAAATATTGGCACGTGGTATTCTTTTCATTAAGTCTTGCATTATCCTAATTTATCTCTCTCATGCAAACTGGCACATTCCTTTCCTCCTTCTATTTGTACATACAACATTCTGTTAACAGGTTCCAACAGAGACCTTGGTATTAAACCACCATTTCACAAGGACAAAATTATTTCCCTCCTAGTGGATAACATCACTGCCAGTGCATGCTGGGAGTGGGTAAGTGTCTCCGGTGCAAAGACTGATAGTTCCAGAAACCCAGCTCAATCCTCCATAAGCCTGGCTTGAGTAGCTATCGGCTTGGTAAGTATCAGTCTCTGCGGCGGCACCAATGCATCCGATATCAATGTATCCAGATTTTCTAAGAGTGTAAGGGTTGGAAACGACGGCTCCGTATTTGCCAGCTGGGACGGTGTATGTGTAGGCAGCAGTGTAGGTGGAAGTCCATGTCTCTGTGTAGGTAATACCATAGGTGGTTTGGAGGAAGTCTTCGATAAGGGTGAAAGTAGCGCTAGCAGTGACGGCGATAGCATTTGCGATCGAGTATCCTTCTGTGACGGCAACGGTGGCAGTGGTTTCTCCTGCCTTGACGACGGAGGACATGGGCACGTCCCAGTTCAAGAATTTCTGGTCAGGGTTCTCGCGAACGACGGTTGCTGACTTGCAACCACGCTTGCTTAAAGCAGATGATGGGTAGTGGCCTGAGGTTCTATTGGAGGCTGAGGTTCCATTGTAGCCTACAAGAGGGCCAGGCGCTTGAGTGATGTTGGAACCATGGTGGTGCTTCCAGAATTCGGCTTTGTCCATGACTTCTGTGCGGCCATTTTCGCCGAAGAGAATGATCTTGGACTCATCCAAGTTGCGGGGAATTGTAGCTGCTCCCACAATGGTGGAGCTCAACAAGAGACTAGAGAGAATGGAGGTAATATACATTTTGAAGTTTTGATGGTATTAATTGAGGACTTGAGAAGTGTCAATGAGATAGAAAGAGAGAGACTGAGGCTGGATGGTTTTACTAAGTCATTGATGCGAAGTTGGAGACTTCATATACTCTTTCTTCGTGGAGATATCCCGAATCTCTTCCTCGACATAGTTGATTTATGGATAACTCAGTCCACTTGGAAAACCTTCAAACTTTCAAGGTAGATTGGGATGAACACCCAAGATAGGAGAATTACATATCCCCCGTGTTCTTCAATCCTCACAAGGTCACCAATCATCATCAACGTGCCCGTCCATGGACCAATAAAAGTTTTCTCAGGTACTAATAAGCTTTTCCCAAGAAGCATCCGAATAATCTCCATAATGCAAAGTTCATGTTAAGATGACTGCATGATATGTTAATTTTACGGCAGCAACCGAAAATAGCGTGATCATCTCCCTTCACCGTTTCATATCTTATGAATTCACGGTAATCCTCATTTATGGGGAACAAATCCAAACTTTAAATTTTCTAAGCCTCATGTTCCGCCCTGTGAACCGAAGTTTCTTTTCTTGGCATTTAATCAATTAGAGTTTGTGATGAAACTTGGAACATACTTCCTTATAATTACCATTCTGGGGAAATTTTGACAACGATCTTCTCCCCTTTTTTAATGAGATGGCGTTATTTGGGTCAGTGTCTTCTCAATTAGGCATTCCGATTCATAGTTTTGCCTTGATAAAGTTAAAGTTTACCAGCAATGTTGATAGGGATGAGTAACGCAATCACGTTTCCATCATGTAATCATGCCTGCCAAGCGCAAGTGCCATCAGGGTACCAAGGATGCCGTCATGATGGATGGTTGATCGGTACCGAACTGAGGTTTTGGTGCATGATTTTCTGGTAAAACCCCATCAATGTCATTTCGGGATAACCCCGCCGAAGTTGTTCCAAATGTATTCAGCCTCTTGGAAAGTTTAAACCTCGTGGTGACTGCAGCAGATAGAGTATTGTGATACCTTTGTCGGCATACAGGTACCTAGCTATCTTGGGACGGATTGTATACCGTAAAGTTTAATATCGGTCTATCTGCGTAACGCTTGTTGCGCCGGTAGTTATCCCAGCCCTATTATGTCTATATATCCCATACTCCAGAAACCGCATACGACTTTTCTCCAGCTTTCTATTCTATCAATCCTTCAACCATCTCTACTTCTTAATCAGATATCCAACCCTCACTCTTTATTTCACATATTTACCTATCTCACTTCACTACAATCAACATGCCTTCCATCCTCCTCAAGACCATTGCTCTCCTCTCCCTTGCCAGCTTCACACTCGCTGACCTTCACACCAATGGCATATGCGTAGACACCAAGAGCGGAGTCGTATGTTCCAATTTCCTCACCCCATCCCCCACAATCTATGTCTATAAATAGAACTAACCAATAACCTAGTATGTGTACAACGCTGATGCCACCGCCGCCACCTGCACAAACTACAAGGACAGAAACACAGGTTCAGAACAATGGGACACATGCCCCGATTGCACCATGATTACAACTGGTGTTCCACATTGTGAATCCGCTGGTTCGCATATTGGTGGTGATGAGGTGAGCTTCAATCTAATTCTTCTCTTTGTCATGAAAAATATGATGATACTATGTTATTATGGAACACATGGAATAAGAGACTAATTTCTATATTTAGTTGAGCTACTATTGCAAGGAGAACGGAGCAGGTGGCTCTTTGGCAAACTAAGCGCCTGAGGGACGTTGGTGAGAGAAAGAAGTGTACTTTTATTGGAGGGATTCTTGGCGAGCATTTTGGGGAGAAAGATCTTGGTAAATACTTGTTCAGCGAAGCGAAATTTGAAGGATTCATGGCAAGACGCTATGTGTTTGATTCATTCACATATCGAATGATCTAATCGGTAATAGAGTATGACTATCATAAGAGATGGAGATTCAAATGATATACTTTTGATCAAATAAGAAATGAACATGATTATTCAAGTGCTTCTGCAACAACCAGTTACAAATCGTGGTTCACTAATGCCCTGACGTCCACTCTCCTTGTATTCCATCTCTGATTAATCCTTCCAATGCGTAAGCTGAAGGCAATAACTGCCCCTAATACCCTGTCGGATCCTCCACAAATCTAAGCCTCGTACGTACTCTTAATCTCGATAATCGTATGATTTTGGCCATGGCTCTCCAGTGGTTCTCTTACCGATGAACCCCTGAATCCACAAAAGCAATGAGGGATTATTGGCAAGTCTAGCTGTTACTGCACTGAATGTGTTGTTTGTGTGCATTGTTGCCTTTGAAACTTTGTAGACTTTATCAAATCGATAGATACCCAAAGGGGAAAAAACAAGACAGGCATATGGAGAGAATAAAAATAAAGATGAAGATGACGACAAAGCCAATTGATTTTTTGTAACATAGAAATCTGAGAATGTAGAGGAAAGAGGAGAAGTGTTGCATGTTATAATGGTTAATGGCGACGGGTTTAATTCCCTTTTTCCTATTCTCATGGCTTGTCACTATGGGACTCGCCAGTTTCCATGTGAAATCTTATTGCTAGAAACGTAACAGCCTCTATGGTTCCAGAACAGCACAGATGCATCGCTTTCATCATCTAGAGTAAATGCTCATATTATTTTTACATTGACGGGACAAAGAATCTTGTTCCTCAATAATAGCATTATATGTCAAATTTTCCGAGGTCCTGACATTAAAATTCTCCTACGACACAATAACATCAAGACACAAAAGATCTTCACTTGAACATGCATAAGCCTCCAGCTGCCGTACAACTTACATCCAGCCTTTATGCTAGACGTGTAGAAATTACTAATATCTTAGCTAGTCAACCAGTCTTCATAGAAATTCTCTGCAGTCAAAAGCCAAGCTAGGTGTATTCAGTAGAAGAGAGAAAGCTGCCATGGAAAATACTCAACATGGCTTACTGACAAAGAAAATCACATTGCCCATTGTTTATTTCGATGGTCATACCATACGTTTTCGAAGTTGAAATAAGGGTGCTGACCGAAAACTACTTGTTGGCCAATATTAATTATCAAAGAGCAGCGTCAGGACAAGAAACTTTCCTCGAACCCTCAATCTTTCATAAGTATTGATTCAGAGCTCTACACTGTAGAGGTAAGATGGAAAATGCGCGTACATTCTAAGTTCCTTGATGCATAGAACATCCCAGATAAACAGTGGACAAATCCGTCTCAATCTCACCTTTCGAAATCACATCCATAGGAGACATGAATACCTCCTCCAAGATTGTGATGTATTCCCAAGGAATGAGATTTGCATGAATAACATATTTGCATACAATTCCAGAAATCTTAATAAGAAAAATCTTCGCAGTATATATCACAAGTATATAAGCACACAATAAAACAGTAGATTAATGGATAGATACACTTGCACCTAATCACTAGTCCTCTTAGTACCTAGTTTCAGTTCATTTCTTCCAGAGTTCCAAAGATGGCTCCACGATATGAGCCGATACTCTCGAAACAAGTAGTTTGAGTGTAGAGTAACTATATTCTTCTCATATCAACAACAGATTTAAACCGAGGCGAAGAATAGTGAGATTATTCTGGAGTAGCGTTGTATTGTACACTATACACACTTTAAGGTTTACAAGATCAAAGAAAGATACAAAAAATTCCCAATCAGCAGAATTTGTAATTCACAACAACTTTCTCAGAGGTACTTTATATTCCACGAACCGCTTATTTGGAATATGTGAGAGCTGGCCTGCCATTAACTTGTAGCCGCTCTATCAATATTATGCGCAGATATCTGCTTCATTGATTCGTACTAAATTAGAGACCGATTCTGAATCGGGATCAACTACTGGATCTCGGTGCATTAATTAGTATGTGGTAGTGTTGCTGGAGTTGATGGGAAGGGTATTGTACATACATTAATATTTATGATCGTTAACCACATCTATGTCTATAGATATTGTATAAAAGAGGTTATACTAAAGATATACTGAAATACAGAAACTCCAATATTTAAAGCTGGAATTTGAATATTCTGATTTACCCATTCCTCACTAGATATAAGGCTCATTTAAAATATATAAATTACCAGTATGAAATATGTGACTTCGTTCAACACATTGTTAGTAATGTTCAATATCATTGAGATGCGGAATATTCTCAGTGAAGTACTAATCACAACACTAATGGACATACTAATGCGCAATTTTTGTTGGAAGAATTTTTTTATGTTCAGATTGGTCTTCAAAATTGGTAATCTATGTTCAAAGAAAGCTTCGACATCAAAAGGATATCTGAAGCGAGTAAAGCTCAAACAGAAGCCGAAATGGTTCTATCATAAATGGAAGTGTCATTGGACAGTACTGAACTGACAGTATGTAGACGAACTGACCTCTATCAATGGAGAATAAATAACTCCGCACCAAGCACCACGAACTCCATCACAATCATATACCAAATCATAAATCATCTAATCATGTATCCCAAAACCTCTATTCTATACGCCAATTTTCTATCCAGGCTACACGAGCGAATGGGCCTCGATCTTGACATCATCCTTTTTATCTCCCATGTAATCTATTTTCTCTCGGGTGGCTTCAGGATCAGCGAGTATTTCTCTCGAACTTCTGTACTCGATTTCATTGTGGTTCATAATTTTTGGGGTCGGACTATTTTTTACTTCGATGTATGGTTTGGGAGCTGTCCGGAAGAGGGGTCGGAGAAATGGTATTGAGGATGTTATAATGACAGTGCAGTTTTCTACTGCGCACCATACGATATAGGTAACTGAAGTAACTATTATATCGATTAGATTTTGACTGTTCAATGTATACAGTCTATTTAGACTTACAGGTAATATCATCGCTACTGCCCATTGTGCAGTAGGTCCTAATGACGGCCGCGATAAAAGCACTGAGATGATTAGCTGAGTTTTGATTTCTCGGAGAATAAACTTACAAAAGGCTGACTCCCAATAGAAATGATAAGAGAAACTTCAAATGCAATGGGATATGAAGATTGATGATCATCGCAACGGGTAGAATTGTAAGAGCGAGATCTGTTAAGGAACTGGACGATCCTTGAAAATAGCCAATAGCTGCTTGTGTTCCCATGGACCAACATTGGTCTTCATGTCCAACACGATCCCAGTTGTAAGAAATATTGGAACACTCGAAGAATATTTGTATGAGTGCCATTAGATTTATAATGGCGTTTTGAGCAATGAGAAAGTAGAGGAATCGTCTTATATTCTGCTGGTGTCCAAGTATTCGTATGAGGTAAACTGCAAAGGATATTCTGCCGAGTGTTGGTGATATGATACCTGCAAACAATTAGCGATGGACGAACTCGACAATTTGAGGGAGACTTACCGAAAGGCTCTCCGATAAATTCAGCTCTTATAGCCATCGCGGCTTGGGTCTCGGTAAGAAACATAATATGTCTTCCTAATCCAAAACTTATACCCCACGTATTAAGTGATATATGACAAATGCCAGAAATCTTAGTTTTTTGTTAGTAGAGTGCTAGAGAAAATGAATTGATCACATACCATAGCAAGTATAACTAAAAGATCCTCCAGAGCAAATGTGAGATGGTATTTGGCTTTAGCGATTAATCTCAGCATTATTAATATTCCAGATATCCCGTACAGAGGCCAACATATTAGGAGTAGTCGGGACGCTGAAATCATTTAGTATTGTGTACAAATTGATGGCTCTTAAGGCAATTACCTATTGAAACATCTTCAAGGTTACTTGTCGACTCCATGATGAAAGTGTATTATCAGAAGACGAAGAAATATTATTTCGTCGTAATGCGGATGCCAATTGAAGCGTATTAGCAAGCAGTCATGGTAGATAGAGAATGAGACAATATTACGATAAGATCAATAGGTATGGGGATTGAAATGTACTTAGATGCAATGCCAATCTTTGCCAATAATTTAGGTAGGTTCTACTAAGACGTGAAATAAAGTCAGATTCCTATGCCAAACCATCCATGAAACACGTAGAATCTTCCAAGAAAATTCATAAGGCTGCTCTGCTGGAGGAAACCTTATGTAATTATTGTTGTGAGACAATTGAGAGACGAATATAGCTTGAGACGATCAACGTTGCAAAGGTCTGAGCGCAATTAATTATGCCATCCAGGCGCATCCTCCCGATTGTTTCCCCGCGAAAACAGACTTTCAGATTAAGACCCAAATTTTCAGTGCATAGTGACGTTCCAAAGTATAGAGCATTAGACATCTGAATGGGATCGCTTGCGAAATTTGTTCAGACGAATCGGATCTTCTTGCATGAAAGTACGAGAAAGCCGCAGCATGGCGACCAAGTAAGGTTTGCGTTGGTCGGATCTCGAGGTCATGCCAATAAGATATCATAAGCAATAACAAACAGTAAAAGCGCAAACGAGATTTCTTGTTTGGCATAAATGAAATGAATTTATTGGACACCCCCGATGTTGTACCCTAAGTTGTATATCAGTGAGGCCATGCTGTTGCTCAATCAGGAAGATTTGTGAGGATAGACTTGTTGGATGAGACTATGTTGTCGATCATCAACTGGAACAATCATCCCAAGTATATTTGACAAGGTCATTGTAATACTGGTCAAAGATTTAAAGTTGCATAGAGTGCTTGGACAGGTGTTTAGATCGAAGCATTCGGGAGATTTTCCTCATCTGGACAAGCTCGAAGAAGACATGAGAAACTTTATATATAGAAACAGAGTGAAAACACAGTGAGAGATCTAGATGTCGATAAGAACAAATCAGAAGTGCTGCAACTAGTACACTCGCCTACTAAGACTCGTGTTTCATATGTTTTGTGAGTACTTCGCAGGCTTTTCTTGTTACCAGCGAAGAGAAGACAAAGACACGACTGTGACCGAGTAACAGAGTAACGCAGCAATGACAATCGATGAGGGGAATCTTCAGATGACATATGTAAGTGCTGCTCATTCCCTCAGAGAACCAATCAGTTGATGATCGATCAGCATTAAATCAGAGCTTCACATTATTGCCACGTCTGAAAAGTCTCCAGGGTCATCGAACTGAGAACATGAGTTTGAGAGCTGCACTGATTTAATCAAATTCTAGGCAAGGACTTTCAAGAATTCCAGCTTTCGAAAAGTTGGAAGAAATTGTGTTGGGAAGAACCAACAACAATTTGCAAGAAAGATGATCGTGGGCCAACGCCACAATTCCGAAACCGACTACTCACGTGACCTGAGCATTGATTTTCTCCAAACGCTATCCTCCAGACCCTGACTTACAGTACCGCCAAAGATCACAGAGGGTGACTTTGAAGTCATTCAAATATCAAACTATCTGAATCCAGCCATGGATGAGATGTGCCATACTCTTTTAGCTATGATGTAATTGCTCAATTGCTAGCAACACGGCGTCACAGATTGCACCCAAAGCCAAGAAGCGTGCATATACGATTTACGGAGATGCAACATCATTTTAGTCATCTTACTAGAAGATACAAGATGGCATTTGATAACCACGTGCTTTAGCATGCGATTTCCATGCTGCTCCTCCTCATCCTTCAGACGTCATGCTTTCGACATAATTCATAGGGATTTCAACATTGGTCTTGGAATGGGGTGATTGTGTCCAAGTGTCCACTTAATAAGAAGATTTGCACAGCCACAGTCATTAGTGACTACCGATCGACGGATCTGCACTAATGATTGGTCGGCCTTACAGCCACATAATTTAATGACGTTAGAGCAATTTGCGCCACATATGCTATGACGACTTTAGATTAGGTTGGCATTTATGGGGCATTACCTAGTACGACCCAACCGGCCAAGGTAAGTACACTGCAGTAGTTGGTTCATTCAAGCAAGAACCAGACGAGAAAAGTTGGTTAGAGGTTGGAGATGTGTAAGTGCCCCAGGTTGGTAGTTGTGGCAGTGGCACTGGCACTGGCAGTGTGGCTCTGTGGGATGATGGGATGGCCGGAGTACCAAGTAAGTAGTGGGATTCAAAATTAAGAAGCACAATATGTGAATAAGAAAGAAATTCAGGTAATTTCTAGTTTTACAAACTCTAATAGTATAAGCCCCCAAAGGGTTTTACCGGTAGTTCATTTCTTGCGTGGCTACCTAGGTACCAAGTACTCTCCTTTTTTTGACAGTGTGGGATGGCCCACTTTGACTAACTGAGATATTTGATAGGTCACAATTTGCGAGAGTCAATCAATTTAGCTTGGCCCCTTACAGAAAACCTGAAAGTTTGTTTAAAAACGGGGATTTGCGGGGTACGGAGGTTAGGAACAGGTGAATATGCTTACTTGCATGCTTTGGTACAACTATTCCTTGTTATGACGGCAGCAACATGGTCTTACAATTCCCATTCCTTTTGTCTTTGCCTTTCAAACGGGGATGTGGCACTGGGAGTGAATTCTTTGTTGCATTGGAACTTTCCCATACCTGGGTACCTCCCTCAATATGACGTCACAAACAGGTTTATTGCCTCTTCATTCATCGGTCCTGAAGCATTTGAGGTCTCTGGATTTATTATATAAGGATTGCCTTCTACCTCCCATATCCTCTTTCTTTCTTCATCAACAAACACACAAACCAACAGATAGCAACTTCAAATCAAATCAAAACCACAACTACTTTTTACTTTCAACCTTCAAATAATACTACATTCAAAATGACTGGAGAATCTACTGTACAAAAGGTCAAGGAGGTCCTTCACATCGGTATGTATTCCCTCTCTTCTCTCATGTAGGATACCTCAATCTAACCTCCTCAGGTTCCCACAAGGACAAGGACCATACCACCTCTAGCACAACACACAACACCACCGGTACTACTGGCACACATGTTCCAGGTACCACCCACAACACCACCGGCACTACTGGTACACACGTTCCAGGCACCACTCACAACACCACCGGTACTACTGGCACCCACGTTCCAGGTACTACCCACAACACGACCGGCACTACTGGTACACACGTTCCAGGTACCACTCACAACACTACCGGTACCACTGGCACCCACATCCCAGGCACAACACACACTGGTCATGCTGAGGGTTCTCACGGACCTCACAGCTCCGCTGCTGCCAATGCCGTTGATCCAAGAGTCGACTCTGATCTAGACGGAAACCGTCTTCCAAACAAGACCTCTGCTGGTTATGGTACTCAAGATGCAGCCTATGGCACAACTGGTACTCACACTGGCACCCACACTGGTGCACATGTCCCAGGCACTACTGGCCACCAAGCTTATGGACACACTGGAACAACCGGCACCACCGGCACCCATATTCCAGGTACAACTCACACTGGACACTCTGAGGGCTCCCATGGACCTCACAGCTCCGCTGCTGCCAATGCCGTTGATCCAAGAGTCGACTCTGACTTAGATGGAAACCGTCTTCCTAACAAGACTTCCGCTGGTTACGGTACTCAAGATACTTACGGCAGTGGTCTTACTGGTACTCACCACCAAGGTACAACCGCTGGCAACACTGTCGGAGGAACTGGTTTCGGTGGAGGAATTTCCCACAGCACCAATGCTGGCCCTCACAACTCAAACATTGCCAACACTGCCGACCCAAGAGTCGACAGCGACTTGAGCAGCACTGGTAACCGCCATGGAGCTTCCACTGGACACTCTGCATTCGGTGTTTCCGGCTCCCACGCCACTCCCGGCTCAGGAACTGCTCAGAACACTGCTGGTCCACACAACAGCGATATGTTGAACAAGTAAGCACAGTTCTACCCTATATTATTCATGAACATATACTGACAATGCTCCACAGGGCTGATCCAAGAGTTGATGCTGATCTTGATGGTTCCAAGACGTTGGGAGGAAACAAGACCTACCAATAAACCACATGTACAATGGTACCCATGCTGAACGCGGCATGAATTTGCGATACCCGAGGATTGGGCATACCCGCGTAAATGGGGGAGCTTCTATTATCTTCACACGATTGTCAGTTTAGGCTTTGGGTTTTCTTTTATCTGCATATGATGGATGGAGGGATGGGATAGGATGGTGGCATGGGAAACTTAATAGTTTTTCGCATGATTTTACGAGTTACGAAATGATATAATCACTTCTCGAATAGTTTCTTCTTTTGTTGTGTGAGTGTGAACTTGAGTGAATTTAGGTGTTTCTTATGATTGTTAGCCATGAACATAGAGCGGTCGACTAGAGCACTTACTAACAATTAATCAATCCAATCAATCAATCACCTCGTTGCTACCCTCTCACTAATAATATTTCACACCATCAAAATCCGAGCTTTTCTTCTTTCTCTCGAGAAGCTTCTGTCGCAACCATATCCTTCAGCCATTCGCTGACAGTTTAAATCGCTACTCTTCACTAGTCCAGAAACCATAGTGACATTTATCACTTCATCATTTGAATCATGAGCCCCGTCAATCACGAATATAAATATTCATTACCCATCTTGGATATTCCCCTATGGTTCTAGAAAAAGGGTTCTCATTGCGATCGCTCGTTTATTTGGAGAGATCGAGATTGCAGTCAATATTCTACAAACGGCATTGCCGATCGTATCGAGTGTTTAAACCCAGTAAATCCGTATTCCTGCTTGAGTTACCATTACTAGGTAGGTACTTACTCCATCCGTCGTTTACATAAATGGAATAAAATTTCAGAAGGCAAAGCAATTCAAATATGGCGATGTAAGTGGGTGAAGAATATCGCTTATGGTTACAACTGATAAGGGGGAAGTAGATATCATTTAGTCTCCGATTAAGAAAAAACCGGACAAGGTACTAATTAACGATGTGCATGGGTCATGTAAAATGCAGCAAATAGTTTTAAAACTTCTACTAGTATTTAGTTAGTTAACTGTAGCTAGAGTTTTAGTTTGAGAAAAGAAAAAGGTGGGAGCTAGTGTTAGTGAGGACGCTAGGAGGGTAGGGTTGAGGCTAAGAGTGCAGATGGAGCTAGTGATTTTTGGGGAAATGGGGGAGTATGGAGATGTTTTGAAGTTCTTGATCTGGATGTTAAGTACTGGGTTGGAATGGGGTGCATGATTGTTGTTTGGGTGGTTTGCTGATGACAGTGGTAGTTGAAGTACTTACGCTTGTTGGGAAATCTCCACATGATTTTGAGTTCAAGGAACATGGATGGTGAAGTAAGTTCTTTTGATGATGATCAAAGGAATTCGATAGGTAGTGATAGACCCGATGAACTCGAGGAATTAAACAAATTTGTGAAAGTTCACTCAGAATTTCATGGTCTTTGTGGTTTCCCTGCTAGCTGATCTATGAATTCCAGCAAACACCCTCATGAATCTAGGATCGAAGAGCGACCTTATCGTTTATCAATCTAGAATAAGTCGATGTCTTGTCTATATCTGGGACAAACAAGACTCGCAATCTTGCCAGTACGAAAGAGGATGCAATTTCCATACTCCCGAACACAGAATACACCTGGATCGAGACAATGGATAGAGGTATTTAACACAAAAGCCTTGAAGTGGACGAGATACGGTATGGAAGTATGAAGGTAACCTCCTAGCATCTTCTTTTCTTTTCCAGGGCGTAATCACGAATATTGAAGATTTGAGACAGAATGGAAAGAGATCACTGGAAAAGATGAGGAGTAAGCGGAGGGCATTTAACAGACCATGATGACACTACAATGGAAGAAAAATTCTCAGACGAGAGGTCAGATAAGACGTGTAGCCGAATTAAAAGAGGAAAATAGGAGCAGACAAAGCAACAAAACCGTTTGAGGGATAATATAGGTAATTGCAGAGGGATATTCTAGAGTGAATAGGATTCCGGAAGCGATGAACTTCCGCCATTCCTACACGGTAAGCATAACTAGAAATAATCTCAAAGCTCACCAAAAGTAAAACGAATCAACACCCAATTTATCATAGTTCCTGTCATCTTGATTAGACAACACGATATATGGCGGGGTATTCACATGCTAGGTACGACCTAGATTAGCGCTGAGAACCTCGAATCGGAACTCTAACGAAGCTTTCTAATGCCACCCCTATCAACTACTTACCTAGTATTCAACACCTCGTTGTTATCGCCTAACAACGAATGAACAAACTTTTTCGTATCTTCGTATACCAAGACGATCGTCTTCGCTTCGCACTCCGGATTTGGTGATCACTTCGATGGTCTTTCGATATCAATTCACTCATTAGAGTTTTTGATTCGTCGCGTACTACGTAAGCCGAGATTCAAAAAGTGTTCTCGAGCAGTCCAATCCAAGCTGGTGTATCTGTGCTACGTGTACCGAATGCAGGGCTTTATGTTAAGACTGAATGAAAGAATTGCACTAAGTTTGAGGATACATTCATATGACCTATATATTGCACAAGTATCATACAATAATCCTGGAGCCGTTTGATACATAGGGGTAGAAGGGAGAGGGGTTATTCTCTTCACTTAGTGAGTGAAAGATAAACACAGTAGAGAGAGGAGGGAAAAGGAAGTCCACGACAGACTCTGAAACAATTTGTACAACACGCTTCATACTGAAATATTCAAAGTGTTGATTTCGAAAGATACTCGCTCCCTCGTTGGCGATATATCTCCAAATCGCCAATTTATCTTTCAATCTCGTCAACATTTGAATCTTTTCTTATTTTTCAATAGCCCGACTGAGCTTTCACATCTTATTCTCGAATGGAAGAAGAATATACACCTGTATAATTCCATCTCACGTTACGTTCCTTCCGCAATAAGATAAAGAGTGTTCGCAGGTTAGTTCTTACCTTGAGAGATTATTCACACAGCATTAATATCAAATCCCTCTCACTTCTCGTTGATTCTACAAGACGTAACCACAAACACAACACTACATTTAGTACATGAGAAGCATTAACTACATTCTAGAACATTCATTTGATCATTCATATAACATAATAATAAGTAAGTTCAGTCCACTGATCCGGTCTCTGAAGAAAATAGAAAACTGTATCGTTGCTGATGACGACAACAGGAATTACTACATCTGTACACATTGCAGAAATGGTCCTCTTCAAGTTTTCCAATAGGTACGTGCTCTGCATTCCACACTCGCATACAGGAATCCACCTTCAGCGCTTACAGAATTTATGCACAAATTTCCTAATCTTCACACACAGATTCTCCATCTTGCCTGTCAAGCACATGTCCGACGAAGAAGACGGAACCGAGTCGATTACCCAGCCCGCATCACAAGTCCTATCGTCACCAAAACGTACACCGAGAAGCACTCGCTCCTACCATTCTAGACACAAGCCTTCCCTCTCCAAACTCCCACCTTTTCTGAGAATCCCCCGCGAATTGCGATGGATGATTTTCGACGCCCTGGTAGCGTCAATTACCAAAATCGAAATCGATCCATCATTTATCGATCCATTCCATGCTCTCCGACTCAGCACCAAAGGTCTTCGAGAAGAAGTTATAGGCTGGCAGAGGAAGAGACCCGATGTCATCAATGCTTTTCCCTATGGCTGTTTCATCCCACATCGCACAACCTTCGTTTTGAGAATCGATCACCTCTGGAAGAAAGTCGTCAAGCACAAGACAGTATCCGGATCCCACGTGACGTTTAAGAGCGGTCCCAAATATAGAAAGCTAGATGCAGCTCTTCTCCCCGAAACAAAAGCCATCAAATACATGACGCGAGAACAAGCATGGTACAGCTTCTGTCGCACGGTAACACCGCTACACAGGTCAAAAATGCATCTCAAATTCGAGATTTCACTACCCGAAGAATTGGAACCGAAAAGTCAGGGTAGCGGATTAAGTCCCATGCCGCGCGAAGAATTATTCAGAGCGCTAGCTGCGTCGAGATATCAAGAAGGAGCGTGGGCATCCCAGCGCTTGTATCTCCAAGGGACAATCGACCAACTGGCTAGTATGTACAGAACGGATACGCTTGCGCAGATAGGAGACATGGTACAAATTGCGCAGAAAATTGCATTTGACAATGAAACATGGACTTCGTTTCGCGATCATCGGTGGGAAGTAGATGAATACAATACGCTTTCGTATCCATTCGATGCGACGTATTGGGAAGATGAGAAATATAAGATATGTAAGGAGGGGAGAGATGGAAAGGATGTGTATGAGTATGGTGGGAGAGTGATGGAGGCGGTGATTGCGTCCGCGGAGGATATGCGGAGGGGTCCGCCGTTTGTGGTGCAGTCTTCGATTCCGCCTCTGGTGAATGAGGAAGATGCTTTTGATTTTACGAGGGGCTTGTTGCAGGGGACTACGGCTTGTTTGTGAGAAAGAAAGAGTAGGTAGGTTTGGGTTTGGGTTGAAGAATTGATAATCACTCAGTCGTGGAATTAGAATGAGAAACAGCGTTGAGGGTTTTAAGCGAAGATTTGGAATCTTGTAAGAGGATTGCATGCGTGCTTTATACCACAGCATTAATGATCGATGAATAGATAGATACCTAGTTTAATGAAATCATATCCCTAGGTACACTCAGCTTGAGATGAATTTACGTTATACTTTGTGAGAAGACGACTCTACCATCACCCATCCAATCTAATCACATCAATGTGAAATTTCTTGTGTAATTTGCAAGACGGTTCAAAATCCAAATCGAAATCCAAATCCTCACGCAGCAATCCAATATCCTTACTCCAACCATCTCCAACCCTCCCCATACCCAAGCAATCATCACCATCAAAATTATACATCCCAAACTCCAACAGCACTGAACGCAGATACCTACTTACCTACATAAATAGAGGTGACTAATAACCAAAAATGTAAATGGTTGTGAGAATGAGAATGATGATAAAAATATATAATGAGCTACTTACCTAGCAGCGACAACAGAAGATAATAACAATGAGACTTTATGATAGATACACCCCACGAGACAGCGAGGACTAAATTGCAGACCAAGATAGTCCTATCTGCTTCCCAATAACATACACATCACAACTCATTCACGTGTACCAGCCCCAAAGACTTTTTGTTTTGCTTCCCCAAAATCCCTGATGAGAACTCAAATATAAGGACTGACTGAACAAAATTGGTATTTATCACTGCAAAACTAATTTTTCCTTCATGACGACATAAGCCATCCATCTTCCAAGAAGCCTATTTACCCTAACCCATCACTTCATCTCACACCACCAATCACACCATCCCTTTTACTCTACCCTCCCCAAACCCTTTTATATACAACGCATTCATCCATATCTCTTCCCCACTTAATTCACCTAGCATCAACTTGATTCCAAAATTTCCTTCCATCTTCTCCTGTCCTCCCCGTCTTTCATCCACGTTTTTTAATCTTCGGGCGCAAAAACACACGGAATTCAAACTACCTGTATGCATTTGCTCAAAGGACCTGGGCTTTTGCATTTAGTCAAGTGGGATGCCTTCATATTCCGCGAATCCTAATGCGAGGTTCATGTTTTCTATTATAATGTTAGCTTCCAGCTCTTTCAAATCACTGCGAAACATGATCAAGAAAATTTTGAGAAAAAGATAAAACTTACGCAAACATTGAGTTGCAGCTCCCTTCAACAAATTATCAATGGTTGCACAAACAACCACTCTCTTGCCACTGCTATGTACTCCAAAGCCACCAATCTCTACGCCATGCTTTCCACTGATATTCTTAACACTTGGTGCTTCTCCAGTAATCTTGACCAATTTCTCTCCAGCATAACGCTCTTGGTAAAGATTTCTAATATCTCTACTAGTCATCTTCTCCTTCAAAGGAATGGAGATAGAGTGATGAATACCCTGGAACCAGACTGCAACGTGAGGAATGAATGCAACTTCAACACCTAATTGGTTGCTGATTTCGCGTTCGTGAATGTGATCAGTGAGAGAGTAAGGAATGATGTTACCAGTGAGGTTCTCAACATCATTCTTTGGGGATGGTTTGGTACCTGCTCCAGAGTAACCTGATACACCGAAGATAGTTGGTTGACCACCAAGGAATGGTACCAATGGAGCAATTCCAAGTTGAGCTGCGGTAGCGTAACAACCTGGGTTGGAGATTCGGGTTGCCTTGGCAATATCGGATCTGTTGACTAATTCTGGAAGACCATATGTCCATTTGCTGTCAAATCGATAATCGGCAGAAAGATCAACAATGACACTGTTTTGAGGACCTTTGCCCTCGTTGACAGCATCAACGAAAGGCTTGCAGACACCGTTTGGTAGTGCCATAACCCAACAGTCAATTTCACCATTTTCTTCCATTCTGCGAACATCTTCGGGAGAAAGGTTTTCATAGGTGATATCTCTCTTCTCATAACCCTTCAACTTTTGTCCAGCGAGTTCTCTTGATGAGACATGTCTGAGATCCATGCTTGGGTGAGCATTAAGGAGACTGATCAAAGCTTGTCCAGTGTATCCTCTGGCACCAATCAAAGCAACCTTAGCGGGTTGGGTGTTTGATGAGTTTTGCTTGCCGAAAGGAGGGTTAGGATTGGTAGTTGTAGCATATCCTCGTCCCGATGTAGGGAAGCGGGAAGTTCGGGAAGATTTGACAGCAGGTCGACGAGCAGAAGTAGAGAAAGCACGGGCTTGTTGCCTGATACCACCCTGACCAGACATGGCAGCACTCATTCCAGTAGCTGCTCTAGCAGCACGGTGAAGTCGTGCCTCAAGGTTAGCATCTCCGAGCATAGATCTACCGTGAGTGGCAAACTCAGTCATGAGATCCTTGACTTCATTACCATCTGTAATTCCATACCAGAACATAACCTCTCCATTCTTAGACAAGCTGCCATCAGCTTTATCAAAGAACCAAGTCAAATTTTCATCATCCTCCTTGACAGTCCAAACCAACTTGCTGTGATCCTTCTTGATAGCAGCAAAAACATTATCAGCGACGTTGGTCAACCATCCAGCCTTGGTAATAGTAAAGGTAGCCAAATTAGAAAGAGAACTTGGAGACTTTGGAGGAAGAACAATTGCAAGAGCATCCATAGGCTCATCGAAATAGGCCTTGAATTCCTTGTTCTTGAGTCCGTCAACATATCTGTCAACAGTAGCTCGTGCATCCAAACCTTCACGATCCCGTACGAGAACATCCTTCAATTTCTGGATATCCTCGAACTCGGAAAGAGCGCTGACAGTAGCTAATTTGTTGCCTCTTCGGATCAAAGTTCCCGCTCCGGTATCGGTGAACAACTCTTTTTGAAGATCAGCTGGGTGAATAATAGCAACACTGGAAGATCTTGGGAGGAGATCAAGCAATTGCTTCGTCTCCTTGATCTTCAATCTGGTACCATATCTGCACCACCATTGTGACATCAAAGAATCATATTCCTCATCGAGGTTGATAGCAGAAATCTTCTCGTTGGTATCCGCATTGAAAAGTCCTCCCTTCTCAGACAAGTAAACAATCTTCAATGGTTGTAATTCCCTGGCAAGTTCACCAGCCGCAACATCAGCATTGACGTTCAAGACTTGACCCTCAGGAGTCTCAGCCATAGAAGTCAAGATTGGCAGACATCCCGCGTTGATGGCAGCCTCAATTGGACCTTTGTTAACCTTGTTGATTTTGCCAACCAGATTATATTTCTCCTTGTCCAAATAATCCGCACCGAAAACACCAGAAGTGATTGGTCTCGCTCTGACTCCCATCTCCTCCAACTTCTCCACCAACTTCAAGTTCTCCTCCAAGAACAGCTTTCGCGCAACTGCCAATGTCTTTCCATCTGTAACGCGAATGCCCTCTTCGAATTGTGGTTCCACGCCCGCATCTTCCAATAACTTATTCAATTGTGGTCCTGCACCGTGTACAACGACTGGGAATAGACCCACATGGTTGAGGAAAGCGAGGGCAGAGGTGAGAGATTCGAGATGTTCAGTAATAATCGCACCACCAACCTTGATAACTGCGAATTGTTGAGAAGACACGGAGCTGAAATGGGAGAGATACTGCTGAACCTCGCGCTTGGAGCCAATGTTGCTGAGGAGTTGAACAACCGTCGAACGAGTTGAAAAACTATCTGTGGCAGGCGCAGAGTATTGACGTCTGGATGAAAGAGCTACGGCGGTGGTAGCTTGCGGGAGAGATCTCACAGTTGAAGAGGAAGGGAACTTGCTAGTAGCAGTGCGTGCTCTTCTAGCAACAACAGCTGCTCTAGATCGAAGTGCCAACATGATTGGTGGGGGTTAGAATCGATGTGGAGTGGAGAGATTACTCAAAGTGAAATCTGTTGAGGACAACAAACTCTGCCTTCTTATAGCTGCTTCTGTGCAAAGCTTACGAAAGAGAAATTCAATGCAATTCAATGCCAAACAAACGTTTGATCCGAGAGTTATCTCATGCAAGGCGGGGAGGATTCGAAAATGTTGGTAGGGAGAGGGTGCTATGAACTGAAAATAACGCAGACTAGAGGGATATAGAGTGTAAGTGAGTCAATTCCTTCAATTGTTTTGTGAATAAACCTCTCGCCGTATTCTTCCAAAGAAAGAATGAAAGAAAAGAGTTGAGATGAACGTGAAGACGAATAAAAGTTATATATCATACCTTTCCTCGACTTTCTTCACAATGTCAATGAAAATGTAAGTAGAAGTAGATATAGATAATACGCATCAGCTATCAAAAATGACAGTCATAGTTCCCAAATGCTCTGGTAATAAATTCAATCTGGATTTGACCCCTCAGGGATTGATTGACCTTGTGCCTTGTGAAAATATAATGTGGAGAAGCGCCGATGTTCTACGATTGGTTGAACTGGGTGCGATGGGTTGCATTTTCAGATTGCGAAATGTGATTGGTTGGATATGGATTCTTGGCGTGAAGAAATACCCCACATAGAGAAGTTTTTATTCCATTTTATCTTGTCAAACTTTTCTCCCAAAGCTTCAGACTTCACTTGATACACACGTACCATCCATACCTTGGGATACGAGTGGGAAACGACGGTGCGGAATATTCCCTTTGTTCCTTTTGGTTTGAAATCTGGAGGTGCGTGGGATGAAGGGGAAAAGTCTTCAACGTGCAGACTGGAGCTAGCAAGGTAGGAATAGTATGATGGTAGTGGTAGATAAGAAGAAACATATTAGGCCGTATTGATCAGTAGTGGAAGTCAATATGAGAGTAGATGTGAATATCAACATCAACATCAACACCAACACCAAAGAAATAGAAATCCGCAAAAAGCAGGAACCCAACAACACCTTAATACATAAATACACAAATACACACATCATAATCTCATCAATCCCCAGTCATCACCTAATCCTCAAGCAATGAAAACACATTCAAACACACTTTCCCAATCCGTCCATCCACCAATGACGAAAGCAAATATCCATCCCATCCCATCCCATCCATCCCTTCCCTTCCCTTCCCAGCCCTCAAACTCCACTCACCATCCAGTCCAGTCCGTAGTCCACCCACCGATCCGCCCCCCTCTCAAAATTTCCAAGTGCGTGCCCCAGACATCATTCATCTCCCAACTTCACAATCTTATCAGATCCGCTCTGATCTCGGTCCATTGACACCAAAAATGGCCCTGCCCACCCGACTCACCCTGCTCACCCTGCCAACATGACAACTCTCACGTAACCATTGCGTAACTGATATCCAAGTACCTGCTAGCGAGGCCTCCTGGTACGTATCCATTCTCTGTATGCTCCCATTCAAAACGGCGATATGCATTCGGGATAGATAGAAAGAAAGATAGATAGATAGATAGATACCTAGGCTCGAATCGCTGATGGCATTCCTTTTTCGCTCGTCATACCTTTCTATCATCGTGGATCAACACACACCAGGTGCGTTTCCCATGTTATCCAGATAGATCTCTAGACTGCACTCAAAGAGATCCACCAAAAACGCTAGATTCGTAGCATTCCTCATATCCTACCTAGGTAATAACAGCTTCTTTCTATACATAGATAGTTCTAGCTCCCTAGACCAAATCCAATGTCAACATTCAAGACCTTCTCATGCTATCAAATCAGAGAATACACATCTCCAAAGCTAGATAGATGTACGTATCAAAATTATAAGACGAAGTACTCCCTCCATACACGAGGACTAGCCTTATTCTCTTCGTTAGCTAGCAGTTCAGTTGCATGCATACCCACCTACTTTCTAGCAGCACGAATATCATTCACCATTAACACCTCGCCATTGCCCTTTCACACCCCGACCAAAATTACAATACACTACATCTCATTCACTCACAGTCACAAAACAACCCATAGGTCTAGTATAAAAAGTCATAATCTCTCCGTTCATTCAATTACCATCTACCAAATACTACAAGATACAAATTCCCCTTTCGAGCTGAATAACCCATTCATCCATGTTCAAGTTCGTAGTCTGATTGAAGATCGTCGACCAGAAGCCAAACCAAGTTAGATCATAAGAAATGGATTAGAGGCTCATCAAGTCAAACGATATCAAAGTGACGCCTTCATGAAAAAAGAGGAAGAACCGATCATGTAAAAAATCTCAAAAATCTCAACTCCTGAATCGTTAAAAGCCCCTTCGTTGCCCTCCTAGCTTTGCAGATCCCCCATGCAAAAGCCCAGAAGGATCTGGTGTCAAGTGTTTCGTTCCATGAAAGTCCGTACAAACATTCATGTATCTTTTCTTTCATAATCTCTGTACCCAAGTATGCCGTCATGCAAGTCCGTTTTCCCATTCTTCGTTCGTGCTTAATTTAATGCTTGGTAGCAACAACTGGAATCTCATTAGTCGTGAACCCATGAATTGGTTTAGAGGAACTCACCAGCAGGAACTACGATGATAATGATTAAGATGATAATGCCTGCAATCAAGCACATCCTCATCTTCATATCCTATTGTCCAAAATGTTAGCCCAGCCCCCTTAATTTTTTACCAGAGATCGTCATTTACCTTCCACCACATTTGTTTGCGGACTCTGTTAGCTCCACGACGGAAACCTTGCGCTGAAACTGCGAGACTATCGGTTTTGTCTTGAAGGGAATCTAAATGGGCACCACGTTCCGAGACCTTGTTGATGTTCTCGCGCATTACACCAACGGTATCATCGATAGTCTAGAAGGAAATAGAGGTCAGTCAAAGCTCTGCAACATAAATCAAAATGCCCTCGGGTTGTCAAAGTTGTCTGGTAAATTTGGGGCCCCTTTGTGATTGAGAAAGTTTTGCCAATTACACATCGCTCTCGAAATCTGAGAAATCGTTGTCAATAGGTAGAGTCGCAACCACCATGTCTCCGGTATTCTAAGATGTTGTCGGCGAGATATGATTTACATCGGAACTCGTGTTCAGGCGGCTAAAACACATGCGCAGCAAAACCAACATCATGTACTTTATCGATGCCAGCACGATCTACACCTCTTCTCAATCTCGCATTTTGAGAAGATATCTTCAAATCGTAGTTATCGAGCGCAATATCTTTGTTCTGTGGATTGTTGATGCTTATCGCATGGTCGGTCGGTCGCAAAATCGTCATATGCATGATGATGACAGGGTGACAAAACTCTCCATCAACTCCCGAGACTCAAAATTCATCGACAGACAACTTCTCTACCCGTCGGAAGATTGTATATCACTTACAGCTTGTAATGCCGCCGTCCTCTGGTTACCTCCTGCTTGTTGGGATCCTGCACCTGCACCAGCAGCTCCTCCGCTGGGGATATAAGGATCATATTGAGGTTCTCGGTGGTCCGCCATTGTGATGTGTTTGTGGGTAGAGGTATTAATTTGATCGTCGAGAGGTCGTAAAATTTACTTTCGCTGTTATTGAAATGATAAATGGCTCAGCAAGAGTTCGTGTCGTAAATAAATCGAGTTGCGTAGGTATTTGTTGTTATTGTTTTGTTAGAGATGGAGGAAGATGTGAGTGATGGAATAATGGGTTGAATAAAGTTCGGGTTCTGGAGCACGTTTAGAAGCGAAACAACAGAAGGCCCAAACGTGATTGATCTTTGCCAAGGGGCTTTTCAAGGTTAATGGCTAATTAATAGTTTGCTTTCTTTGAACGGCAGTGATTCAAACTCAATAATCAATTTAATTCAATTGAGTATCTAAAGAGAAAATGAAGATGAAAATGAAACAATAAACAGTACAAGAATAAGAGGGAAAGGCGTACAATTTATTTGAGTTCGAGTTATTGAAATACGAACGGCTTCATCGGAATCCGTTCTAATTCCAGTTGCTTGCCAACCCTTCTGTCTACGCAATTCATGATGAGCGCCAGCCATCCAACCCATCCTGCGCCTGCTTAATCTACACGTGATACTCCATCAAAACCCTGTCGTTGTAAATTCTGGTGGCTCTTGAGAGTTAAAAGAAGATGGCTGTGTCACAGTGGCGAAACATTGAAGATTTCACAAAGTCCTCAAAGAAACGAATGCGGAACGTACTTGAATCTGATAATACGTTGGTGCAGCTATCAATGCTGTCAATCTTGTCAATGCGACTCGTCCCGTCGAGGTTATATTATTATATTTTGGCTTGACGTGTTGATTTGCATACATTTGTAAATTTATTGTGGGCAAGTTTGACAGACCCTTCCCCCCGGATTTTGATACATTTATAACAGACCTGGTGGACCTAAGCTTCAATTTGTAATCATTATACTCGTATTTGTTTGGCAGGTAAGTCAAGAGTCAAGATTCATGAACTTCAAGTGGTAAGTGGGAAGCATAATAGAAGCTAAATCTCATGAGCATCAGTTGAACTATTATATAGATAGTCTAGACGTCCGCCTACATTCTCCTACTCGTCAAAGGTATCGAAAATAAAATATCGAAGAAGTTAGTAAAACTTCGCATCCCCAAACTACCCAATTCATAACACCTCCTTGAACACCATATCTCCAATCTCATTGCCTCTCCATAAAAACTAGAAACGCAGAAGTGAAATCCAAACACTTTTATCCTAACTCCCCTGTGCCCCAAAACCCCAAAACATCAATTATCCCACAATCCATTCTCCCCCCAAGTTGTATGTCGTGTAAGATGTAAAAGAAAAAGCTAAATATGGTATAAGGAGACAAAGAAATATCGTCAACTAAAAAAATGACAAATATGAACACGAGAATGTCAGAACAAAGAGAATAAATGTCATCGTTTATCGTGATAAATCGTGGAAAAGAAGAAAAAGAAGTAGTGGCGGAAGAAGAAGAAGAAGAAGAAGAAGGAATAAATAAAGAGAAAATCGACAGATCAAAATAAAAAGAAGTAATGAATAGAATTAAGAGCAATGAAAGATCATGAGAATAGTGAGCTATACCGCGTATTGGCCGATTGAGTGGTGGTTTCCGATATCATGGAACAAAAATACAGAACCCTATAGATTGTTAGATAAATGAAAACATAGACATGAAATTAGTGCGATCAACGTACCATCGGAATTATGAAAGGGTTTTCTATGAATCAGATAGCCTTGAGAAGAAACGTCAAAAAAATATGATGCAAAAAAGCATCGAGATGTCGAAGAAAACAACCCCCTCTCCCCTCTGAAAGAAAAGCGGTCCACACCAAAATGACTTGCAACTCAGCGTTAGACCTTAACATATTGTTGAAGACCTTTAGACTGGGCTTCGGGTGAACTTAAGACGAATTCATAACAAACCCTCGTTCTGAACCACGTTCCCACAGAGGTGGTGAAACAAGAAGAGACCTTCGTCTTGGTCGTGGAGATTGAAGTATGGGTGTTTGAATCTCCTCGTATACTGTTGGCGACATCAAATTTATATCATTCAACGGCAAAAATGTCGATTTCGTCTTGATTGGCCCTATTTCCTCGGAATCTAACAGCATTTGTCCGATACTAGCAATTTTTAGAGCATCCCATGTACCTTCACGTCTAGGGCCTGCTTCCCTTAAGATAGTGACCGCATCTCTCCTTATTTTTTGATCAGGACACGCGTATATCACAACGAAAAGAGAAGGAATGATCCCCGCATCAAAGACGAATGTCTTCAAAAATCGAGGATCGGAAACAAGCTTTTGACTGAGAGAGATGATTTGACGGAAGATGGGAAGGAAGTGATCGGAAATCCTGTAATCAAGGAAAACTCCTTGACCCATGAGTCCTATCCCGAGAGCCTTAATCTGAAGAGTGGTTGCAGCAATATAATCTGCATTGCCCGAAGGAGATTGTGCATAAGAAATGATTGGCTGAAATGCTCTTTGCCAATCTTGAAAGCCAGAACTGAACTTAGGAAACTCGAATCCTGTGAGGATAGGAGATGATGCTTCTGGGTGAAGCTTCTGAATTTTTGAAAAGCTGATTGCCAAACCTTGAGGAGAAAGATCCGGTGATGCCAAGCGCCGTTGTAGGTCTGCCCTTGGTATCTTTGGGAGAGAGTGGTATAGCACATGTTCTAAATGAACTTCGGCTTCTGCAAGATTGTCAAGTTGTTGAGGAATGTCTGGTTTGGGTATATCGGTTGATATGAGATCAAGGACCTTGTCGCTCAATGAATCTGGATCATCTGGTCGTGTCACGATCGCCAGGGCAAGGTGAAGATACGCTGTAACAATCTCATTTTCTACCAGATCCGGCGCAGGAGAACTCAATAATGGATTGTGGTGGGGATGACTTGCAATTACTTCATGATGGTGCATCATCTTGAGTGCACTATAAATGTGTTTGTCGGCCAACTGAGTGTTGCCATCTATCAGATGTCGAAATCAGTAACTGTTTGGTAGAAAGGCTCAAAGAGAGAATCGAGCTTACGAAAATTCTCAAAGCAAAATATGATGATAGACACAAGTAAAGGTACGCGAAGAGAATTTTGACTCGTTCGGATAAGGTTACGAAGATACCGAATGGATCTTCCATATTGCTTCAGAGCGTATCGACGATGCATCTCTACTTGATCGGCTATATCATACGGCGATTAGCACTACATCATCAAGTAATCCTTGAGACTTACAAATCCTCTTTAAACCAATTTCGCCTTCTTTCGGATCCATGCATTTCGAGACTTTCATTGCTTTGCTCAAAGCAGCGATTGCGGTGGCAGCATGCCGGACAGACGTATCAGTATGACAAGATTGAAGGATGATGACGTTAAACAGTTTCTTTTTATACCCTCCGGCGAGCTCAAAGACGGTCTCTCTACAGAAGAAATCAAAATATTGAGCCTCTTGTTCATTACCGAAGTTCAACACGGAGATACTGGGTGGTATTGAAAATGGGGGAGATTCCACGACTTCTTGAGATATGCCAGTAGATATAGTTGGACCCATCAGCCAGGCCGGTTTATCCTGAGAGTAGTGTTAGCATTGCCAGATTAGAGGATAGATTGAAGATATACCTTAGGACTATACTCGTAGCCATCACACTTCCTCCCGAAGTTTATACATCGCATGCACGATGGCTTGGTCTCGTCACATTTGACCCTTCGCAGCCTACAATTGAACGAACTATTAGTGAATGATCGAATGGTTCTCTTTCAACATAAGAAATTTCAGTATGATGAAAGAAACCACAAACTTCATACTATCAACATCCAATCGATCATGTGGATCAATTGAACATTTCAGTCACCACTTTTACTCACTTGCAAGTGGTACACCCTGTCTTTGACTTCTGCCTGCACGCACGTGTCTTCCTAAAAGACAGTGGAGATGGCCCTCCTAACGTGATATCTGAAGAGAAACTCATTGCCATCTTGAGAATATGGCAATGATGAGAAGTGAAATGTGAGAATATGAAATAGCCAATTAAGAAAGACGAATTGTGTGAGACAATATGCTAGCCTAAGAAACAGGGCTAGGATAGGAGAGAAAAGGAGTAACAGTGAGAGAGGAAGCTTGGGGAGATCCGAGACTTCTAAACGCGCGCAAGATTCAAAATGAGAGTCAGAGATTGAAGTCAGCGTTAGGAGATCCGGCTCCTTGATGAGGAAATCAACTACGTGTATAAGTCTGCGGCGGTAAAGATAACAGCGGTAAAGATAAAAATGATTCTTCCATTACTATATAGGGCTGGCGATGGAGATAAAGTACTCCACGCGGATGTGTATTAAAAGCAGTAATCATATCGTAGTGCTCATTGTTGATGATACAAACAAGGTGATGTTGTTGGAGTGTGGATCCCGAGTGTTGTATTTTTTGATGCTATGTTTAAAAATAGAAGTGACAGAAATGCAAAGACAAGGTTACAATTGGTTGAATTAATTTTCAATAATTAGTGACCAATATATCTTCCAATCAAACGAGGTGATTCTATTTCGAAAGTGTCGTAATCCTTGACTTATCCCCAATTAATCCTTGCTCCGATCTTATCTTCTCATCAAATCCCAAGGTTTCCTTAAACGCGCGACGGTGAGGATAGACGATTCCGTGTGCGTGCCTTGCATGAGATATTTGCAGAATCCTTCGAACATCCGTAAGGTTATTAAGTGATCTGTGCCAAATCAGCCAATACTACTCTACTCGATGGGGATGGGGATGGGGAGATTAAATCCCATTTCTATTTGAAGATACTCATACTTCGTACTCACTCACTCATGAGAGACGAGGCTGAAGAATCCCTTATTTGGGATTTGGCGCGCCGAGACGTTGAGAATCATCGTTTGTAGACGCATCAACCATCCGTATTAAAGTCATGGGCCAGGGGAATTGGAAGTTCTTGAAGGATGCAAAGGACCCGAATACGTACGGGAAATGGCGATACCAGGAAACGGCAGATCTTGCAGGATTTCTTCATACCATTCTTCACTTCGCTCACTAAGAATAGAGACAAATTGTATATTACTCCGTATGTCTTCGCATGCCCGGGCAATCCGTAGGGCTTTCAACCTGAGAGTCCGGGAAAAGATTGGGTGCCGCAAAACTCAACAACTCTTCAACGGGTGTGCATAAGCTCAGGATGTAATGAGGTATTGTATATTAATACTTTATCGCATTTCCGTTCTCTTCAATGTCAGCTCCTGCTCATTGAGCATTGTTGATGTGCCACTCCTTTTATATAAGGTTGTCTTCCTTTCTTTGTTAATTTTGATGTGTTGGCTGTTGGCCATGGCTACATCTGACACAAATCCACCATGAGTTCCATATGACGGTATGCCAATCGCCCTAGCAAAATTGAGCTCCACAGTGACAGTGACAAATGATGATCAAGTAAGGAAAGAGTCGTGCAATCATCAGAGGTCAGTTTATGAGGTATGGAGGAAGTTGGCTAAGCATGGGATTAATTCAGAGGCACAGAGCCACAGAGGCACAGCGCCACAGAGCCACCTCGCTGCCGCCCGAGGATTGGATTCATGTTTGATCACATGATCAATCACGGTATGAAACACCTCAGCCAATGAGCGCACAAAAAGTTGAGCACAAGCACAGAGGCTGCCATCTCATTTATGCTCCACTAAGTTTCCATACAGAAATTACGAAATCCAAACGGAACTTTATTTCGACCTTGTAGGTAGGTAAGATTACTTGGGGTAGACTTCAGAGCAAAAGGACTCTTCTCTTCTCGCTGAGACATTACGACAGCCACATCACGTTGGCTTGGCTACAGATCTATTGGAAAAAGAATCCAAGCTGGAAGCTCTTGGAATCATCACCATTCTGTCCATGCCAAGTCAACCATTATTTATTTGCCTAGGCATTATGCAAAGTCCACCCACCTGCACCTGCACCGGTTGTCTGACCAAAGTCGGTTTTCCGTGGTCATGGAAATGATGGAAATGACTGAAATGACGGAAATGGTATCGAATGATTCGGAGTGTTGAATTGACCAAATCACTGGGTGGTTATGGAGAGAAGACAGAAATAATTCATTCGTCATCTGAATAATTGCAACAACTTTGATGAGTGAGCGATGGACTCGTTAGGTAGATGCCCTCATACCCAGGGAGGTCCTTTCTTTCTTTTCTATAGACACGCTACCTACCAGATGGTACCTGGATAGACATGCATTCATCCGTTTTCTTTTTCTTTTCTTACCTTACCAAGAAATGAAATACGAGGCTTGGATTGAATTTCTTTCAAAACCTTCCGGACCGATCGGAACATATTGTTCTTTCATGGAACACAAGTTTAAGAGCCGAGACTTACCATTCTCCACAACCTTCTTCTTATTCCATTTTCTCAAGTGTACTACTCACGAATCGGATCCAATACTGTACCGTTAGCATACTGCACGGTACTTGATTTAACTAAACACCGACGAAAGTTCGTTCCTCGTTCTCCGTTCCTCTATTGCTTTTTACATTCTTGGTGTTGAATTCCAAGACTACTCCGCCTCATCATCCTTGCTTCTCTTTATAAATCTGCATTCCCCGCAAGATCATCATCTAGGATTCTACCTCCACATCCGCGCCTTCCATCAATACGAGAGAATTCCAAACATTCGTCACTACCTACCGTGTACAACACAACCAACCGTTACTTTACATTCAATCAACCTCCTCACTCTACAACTACAAATTTCATCAAAACAACACACCATTTATTTCCATCACAATCATCCTATTATGGTGTTGGTGCCGGTTTTGCTACAATCAAATCGCTTGTCGGCTTAATTTTTGGGACTTCTGCTCGCTCACCCCAGAAATTAATTTGGTCGTTCAATTGTTCATGGTTGATCTTGTTTCTTGGGAAAATAGGGCATAGAAAGTGCGAGGAGAAGAATTCAATCGTTTATCCTGTCCCGTTTGGAACCATTCTCTGGATATAATTTAATTAAAGGGATTTCTTACTGTCGTTTTCGAGGTTATTACTGAATATTCCGTCATATCCACCTCTGGTGTGCTTTGGTATCTAGACGTCATTGACCCCGGCGCTTTTTCAACCGGAACACCTATTTAATACTTATTACACAAAACCACACAAAATTACACAAACATAAATACCCTCTCTTAACTATGAAGGTCTCGAAGTCTTTATCGACTTTCGCTACAGCTTTAATAGCTGGAAGTTATGTCGTTAATGCGATAGAAGTTGATCTTGATTCTCCGGGTATATATCTCGCCCTTTATGTTGAATATTATATACTGACTGCAACTTCAGATTCTATCAAGACCGCAGCGGGTACGATTGCGTACGATATGATGTCCTACTACAAAGGAAACCAAACGGGTGGCATACCCGGAAATCTACCGGCTCCATATTATTGGTGGGAGGCCGGAGCAATGTTTGGCTCACTGATTGACTATTGGTATTACACAGGCGATTCATCATATAACGATGTTACTACGGAAGCTATGCTGTGGCAGACGGGACCAGATAATGATTATATGACCCCGAATCAAACCAAAACGGAGGGAAATGACGATCAGGGATTTTGGGGGTTAGCGGCTATGTCTGCAGCCGAAGTGAATTTCCCAAATCCTCCCTCAAATAGGCCTCAGTGGCTCGCTCTTGCGCAGGCAGTTTTTAATACTCAAGCTCCTCGATGGGACGATAGTACTTGTGCTGGAGGTCTACGATGGCAAATTTTTACCTTTAATAACGGTTACAATTACAAAAATTCGATCTCCAATGGTTGCTTTTTTAATTTAGGTGCGCGGCTTGCAAAATACACCGGCAACGATACATATGCACAATGGGCAGACAGAACCTGGGATTGGATGGAGCATGTGGGGCTTATGGATCAAAATTACTATGTTTACGATGGTTCTGACGACACTCTGAATTGTACCCAGCTCAACCATATACAATGGACTTATAATGCTGGAGCTTTCCTTCTCGGTGCGGCAAATATGTATAACTATACCAATGGAAGCGATATCTGGCGTGGACGTGTCGAAGGTTTACTAAATGCTACCCATGTTTTCTTCGAAGATAATGTCATGATGGAGGTAGCTTGTGAGAACAACGGAAAATGCAATGTTGATCAACAATCATTCAAAGCATACCTTGCTCGCTGGCTAGCGGCTACAACAAAAATGGCACCTTTTACCTACGATGCTGTGATGGAATTGCTACGCCCCTCAGCTAAAGGAGCAGCCGCATCATGCGTTGGAGGCGATAACGGACGCACTTGCGGGCTTAATTGGAGAACGGGACAATTCGATGGATTTTATGGAGTGGGAGAACAGATGTCAGCTTTAGAGGTCATCCAAAGTAATCTCATTGCGCAGGTTGCAGGACCAGTCACTAATACCACGGGTGGAACAAGTAAAGGTGATCCCACTGCTGGATCTGGGAAGAGTCCGACTAGCTATCAGGCGACACAACCAGTTACGACGGCTGATAGAGTTGGAGCAGGAATTCTTACGACAGTGGTATTGGTGATTCTTCTTGGAAGTATCTGGTGGATGATTGTGGATTAATGAAGTGAGGACTTATGAAAATATTCTTGTATATATATTGGTACTTGGCACGGAGACGAAACCTCCTACAATTATGGGTATTCGATGCGTCAAATTTGGGATTTCTCTGTAATTTTGGGCGGTAGATGGGATATGGAATCGAAATCTTGGAGTTTTGGGGCGTTCAGTAGGGATTGGAGTGGAACGGGTCTGATTAGGGTATCGATCTGATGACGGTCTACATGATAAATGAAGATATTGGGAAAGGAAATACGCCGCCGCGCATAATACTTACGTGCATAATACGTACGTGCATGGACTAGGATTAGGAAATGGAAGTAGAGGGTAATACTACATGCGGCACTTGGAAGGTATAAGGATTGAATCATCAAATTTGGTTGGAGCATAGTTTGGTGGGATGTGGAGTGAGGAGTAAAAAGAAATTTTTGTCATCTTTTGGTTCCTGTAACTTGTGAGATGAGATATTGAAAGGAAATAAATGTAAGATGGTGATTTTTTTTCTTCTTATTTTCCCTTTGATGTGAAAGATGCAGAGGTTGATGTTGAGATGGTGGGATGGTGTGAGGTGAGGTGTTGTGGTTGTGGAAAGATGGGAGTTGAAATTTAGATGTGATGTGGAGTAAACGGTGTGAGAGAGATGGATAAGGCTCGGGAGTATGTGGTTATGATCATGTTTGTGTTTGTGTTTGTGTTTGTGTATATGTATATGTATATGTATATGTATATGTATATGTATATGTATATGTATATGTATATGTATATGTATATGTATATGTATATGTATATGTATATGTATATGTATATGTATATGTATATGTATATGTATATGTATATGTATATGTATATGTATATGTATATGTATATGTATATGTATATGTATATGTATATGTATATGTATATATTTATATTTATATTTATATTTAAGAAAGATGTTTTTGATTATTGTTGGAAAGTGATTTTGATTTTGACTTTGATTTTGACTGGAGATATGTGGTATGTGTGTAGTATAGTATAGTATAGGAGATGGCATGGAGATGGATAGACGAATAGATAATACTAGATGCTGGATACTGGACACCGGATGGAGAATATCAGGTTCTAGATAGAAGCTAAACGCTAAATATTAGAGTAGAGTCTTACTTGTATTCTTGATATATATCTCTGGTTCCTGGTTTCTAGTTTCTGATTTTTGGCTTGGGATTTGGGATTTGGTGATTTGTGGTTTGGGATTTGGGGTTTGGTGGTTCATGATTTGGGATTGGTGGTTGGTAGATTAATGAATAGATGGATGGATAATCAGCTGTTGATATAGGGGGTAGGGGGGGGGGGGGGGGGGGGGGGGTAGAGATGAGATGAAGCGTATGTGATGGAAGGTATGTGATGGATTGATAAAGGGTATATAAAAGGGGGTAGATAGAGATAGAGGGTTTGAAGAAATAGAGATAAGAAGGTAAAGATGAGATGAGATAAAATAAAGAGTATGTGAAAAGGAATTCGATGAGGGAGAAAAAGGAGAAATGAGTTGTATGTATGTAGAGATGAGATGAGATCGTTTGAATATGATGTGAGTGTGAATTGATCTGGGTGGGAGGGAGGTATATAAGTTGAGTATATGTGTTGATGTGATACAGGGTGAGATGAGTATATGAGTGTATATATGAGTGTGAATGGGAATGTGAGTGTGAGTGTGAATGTGAGTGTGAATGGGAATGTGAATGTGAGGATGGATAAGTATGAAATGGATTGAGATCATGCAAGATGGTTTGAGTGATGGAGTGTAAATATAAGATGAGATGAAATGAGATAAAGTTAAGTATATAAGTTGAGCTGGATATGTAAGTTGAGTATATGGGTTGAGATATTGTATTATATTGTATTGTATTGTATTGTGTATTGTGAATTTTACTTGAGTAGTTCTTTTGATATCGATAGTGCTTAGGGGGAGGGGAAGATATGTTTGAGGAAAGATGTATGAGGGAAAAAGAGGGATATGTGTTTGAAGAGAAGGAGAGAGAGGTAGATGAGATAGATAGGTAGGTGTGTAGGTAGGTGTGTAGGTAGGTACCATTAACCCTCCATCACGAATCAAAACCATAGGAGTCCACTCAAGAAGATAGAAAGAGATAGAGGAACAGTCACAAGGTTCTCGCAAAAGAGGATAGAAGCCGAGATCAAACATATAAATCTTTACCAAAATCTTTCCATCAACTGAATTTTAGATCAATCACAAACGCATTCATTACACAAGTTTAAAGAGGTAAAAGGGATATTAGTTTTGTATTGTTTGAATGATGTTTAAAAGTTTATTTTGTATTATGTGTGCGGAAGGGAATTGAGGTATTGGAAGTGTTGAGAAGTGGTAAAATTGGGGATTTTTTGTGGAGGGGATGGAAATGCGCATGGAGTCTTTCTTGTAGATATAGAAGAGCGAGGAAGTATAGAATTATTCATGCCATGGATCAAGATTACTTATTGATCTATTGTAATCGCGACATTTGCATTTATCCGGGAAGGGGATGCGGTGTGGATGGGGTGGTTCGCTATGGTTGCTTACGGTGATTCTACGTATGTGTAGGAGGAAAATATCGTGGGAATTGGATTTGAAAGGTATAGATGGAGTGAATATAGATAGAATTCAGAAAAGAATTGAAAATGGTGACTTCTATTAATCTTGGATCTTGTAATGTGATGTGATAGATTCTTGGAAGATGGAACGTGAATTGATTGTGCTTGATTTCGGTGACTTGTTTCGCTTAGGTATGTAGACCGGAACTTGGTACGGAGAGATATTGAGATGAGTAACTATGGAGATGAGTGGATGTGGGGTAAGGGGTTGAGAAACCATCTTGGGGGTGGGAGACTTCTGTGTACAGGATATTTGGGAATAGGGAGGGTTGGTGTGATTGTTGGGGTATTGGTGTTGATATTGGTGTTGGGTTTGATATTGATTTGTGTTTAATGGGGTAGGGGAGGGCAAGGTAAGGTGAAGTGGCGCAAATAGAGGAAAATAGAGAGGGTGTTGTTATGATAACATGGCTTGATGAAGTTCATGTCGGCGCGGTGGCGTGGGTAGGGAAACTTAGAGTACTGGAACTGGAGGAAGTAATGGATTGAATGGCTAGGGATGGGGAAAGGCAGGTTGTGATGATATGAACGGGATTGGGGGATGGGGGGATGAGAGATAATGGTAAGAGGGATATCGTCGATGCAGTTTTGGTAAACTCAAGTGCGTTTAGGGATACACGATTCTCGAATATTGGATGCAAGAGCGGCAGCGAGGGTAACATGTTTATTGCATGTCTAGCATCTAGCCGTTTATCATTCACATCGCTAAATATCGTAAGTGCATAAAAGATATTGGGGCAAAAATGGCTTCTACTTCCTAAGTATACAACCAGTTCCAATAGCCGCTGATGTATCTATCTACGGTATATATACATTTATTTCTCTAAAAAGAAATCTTGGAACAAAATGGCTATATACCTTTCTCTAACAAGAAATCCTAGAACACAATGTTAGCAAGTCTGCTGCCATAGGATGCATTAATATGAGTCTATGACTTACTTGCATCTGCCATTAGTCCAAGCAGATAGCTTGCTCCATCGATGTACCACTGGCCTGATAAGAAGCGATTCTTCTCTCCCTTTCCTCTCTTTCTGCTTGTTCCCTTCTCTGTCTCTTGGCTCGCTGCCTTGCTCGCCTTTCTGCGATAGTAATTTTGGGTCGACTATGAGAATGGATTAGCAGACGATACATGATAATGTTAATGACTTGCAACTGATTTGTATCTCAAGATCAAAACAAGGTATGAAACGAATTCAACATTTCAAATCATCTGAATGTTCAAATTGAATTAAGATATTCAGATACCATCATTATAGGACTGCAGTCCAGACTATTTGGACCTCTGATTGTCAAAAGGGGAAGGAGAACCTACACAAATCCCCAATCGTCAACACGCATGCCCAAGTTAATAGCAAGCTCTGCGTTCGCTTTTTTTTGGAGTGCGGCAGCGGCGGCAGCTTTCTGCTCCATTTCATACGCTTCATCAAAGTTCACATTGAAGTCATCAGGTAAGCCATTACCTTCTGCGTCCTCGTCGACCTGGCCATTTTCAGCTTGTGGCTCAGGTGCGACGACGACAGCGGCAGCGGCAGCGGCTTCTTGCGCTTTCTCAATGTCTGCTTCGAAGTCGTAAAAGAAGCCGTCTTCTTCGGAGGTCTTGTCGACCTGGCCGTTTTCGGCAAGCGGTGCGCTCGCTTGAGGCTCGGAAGCGAGGGCGTGGGTGGGGGCGGCGGCGGTTTCTTCTTCATATGCTTTATTAAAGAGATCATCGAAGTCTTCAGGAAATTCATTCTCCTGGGAGGCCTCGTCGACCTGGCTGTTGTATACCGATTGTGCAGACATTGCTGAATTTGGAAGATCTGGTATGGGAAGAATGTTTATCATGGGAAGAATGTCTGGTATGAAAAGAATATATGGGAAGAATATCTATTATGGGAAGAATGTCTGGTATGGAAAAAATATCTGAGATTTGGTTGATGTAGGAATAATAGAATCATGAACAATTCTTATATACCAAATCATATTTCCATCTGGACCAGCTAAACTACCCTAGATCCTGTTTTGGTGCCGGTTGTGAGTCAAGATTTTGTAGTTCATGTCTAGTGCTGGATCTGCGTCTTTGAGAAGACTATATTAGCGGTTGATAACTCATATGAAGTCATTAATTAGGAGCCAAAACTCAATGGGAGAGCTCTGTTAAGGGTTCATGAACCATAGCAAAGGGTCTAAGTCATATGATGGCTTACGTTTTGAGGTCAGAATCACAATTTTCTGAAGGAAGCTACGTATACAGTACGAATCGGTTTATAGACGATAAATCGATATATTTTTATAGCTTGAGATGCGTACAAATATCCTCCAGAAATGACTCTTTAGTATATTACAACTTCTAAATAGTATATTTGTTCAATACCTACCTCATCATGAATCACATCCGAAATTTCGAGTTCGATTGGAGTATCAAAACCCGTTGAACTTTGAAACTTTAATTTGACTTTCCTCACTAATAATTAGAAAGACGTATTGGTCTGATGCTAGCTCTGAAGCTAGTCTTTCTGGCTTCGCACACTGGATTGTAGATTATCACGTGTGGATTATGAGTTACGCATAATCACATACCTATGCAATTTTACGTTTGTCGGATTAAGAGATCCGTATATACGAATGGTGTGATTTGATTACTGCAGTTTGGTTTCTCTTTGATCTAACAGCAGTCGGGTACACGATTTGACATGTTATATTTGTCCTGGAGGGATCTTGCATCTCGCCCTCTTTAGCGAACTTAGTATTCCAAAGTCTTCTCTTATTCAGAACAAATAGGAGGGAAAGAGGTACACATAACAAAGTCAGCCTCAGGTAATAGAATTACGATATGATATTTCAAGACTGGAAGTGTGTGATTATGTTGATGTCGGATCTTTTGGGCCGCAGTTGCTTCCTATTTTGGGAGAGCAAATGACCCGCTAGTGTTTTTGGTGTGATTTTTTACCGGAACGAAAAATTCCTGTGAAAAGTCCATCTTCTTTAGTATAGAGCTAGTGATATTCAGTTTAAGATAGATTATATCATTAGACTCTGTATGTTTAAGCAATCCAACAATATAGCACATTCATATTTTCCTAGAATCTTGATCAATCTCATGGCATAGAGTAGCCAAGGGGACGATCACTTTCACCAGTTATGAATTAGCCGGTTGTTTAAGAGAGCCGAACATTACTTTATGATATCCTATAGATTTTTGCAAAACACACTCCGGAGAACTTCGAGAGCTGATCGGGACAGGAATCCAGAGAACCCTCCCAGCATATCCGGATCCCGAACTATTTCAAGGAGATGAACCAATTCTCACTACGCCACCTCTAAGCCTCGCAAGCCGTGAGAGGAAGCCCTAATCCACGCTCTAGAAGATATTCGCAAAGTTATTCAATCTTCACTTCCCAACTTCCCCGATCCATGGATCAATGAGCAATGATGTATTGATCAGATAGATCAGGTCTCTTTATGAAACTACAGGGGAGATGGTCATTTTTAATTCTTGCCGTGCCGCCTATGGCTGTATTGCCTCCTTCAGTTCTTAGCCGTCTTTTGCGTGTCATGTTTTCGATAGACTTCCAGAACAATGCTAGAAGAACTGTCAGATTCTGGAAGGAAATTGAAACGTCGGTTTGAACATTAGTTCTTGGGTGGCTTTCAAATTCTTGTAATTTTGTGTTTTGCGTTTTGATGAGATTTTACGAAGCTTGAATTCTTCACATGATTTTGAATCTTGTCATTAAGTAAGAGGATTGGAGTTTCGAGTTTATATTGCACCCCATGAGATAATATTGGTATTGACAACAATTTTTGCTGTGTGATAGACTGTCGCAAAGTTCGCCGATGTAGCCATCATCCATCTCAGATGAATAAGATCCATCCCTTCCAGACCTTTATCCCAAACTTAAAGGCCAAGACAGAAGCTATTTTTAACTTCTATTCGAAGAGTGGAATTCCCATACAGGGCTGAAGAAAGCGATAGGCTGTGCATCAGAAGTATTGAAAATCAGCTGGGTTTCGATGACGTTTACAATTGCGAACCGCCTCCAAGATCTAATGTAAGATCTTACGATGTAGACTGAGAAGTGATATGGTATATTATTGGAAGGGTGGTAAGAATAGAGTATTGATAACTTTTGGAAATCGGTTTGGAATATACGACAACTTGGAATTATTGCTTTGCAGCATTGGGAAGAAAGGTTTGCCGATGCAGATGAGTCAATTTCTATTATTGGTTGAGATGAAACATTAGCCTCACCAGCCTAAGAACTATTAGCTTGAACTAAACTCCTTCCCCGGATATCCGTGCAACATCTGCCACACTACCAGATGGTCATGTGATCATCTTGAAAAGCTTGGAATTCCAAATGGGTATGCGAGTGGTTTTCGCATGTTGAGAGTCAAATGTTGAAATCTTTGAGTTTGAAGTATAGTGTATATCCGGACTATTGGTAATACCTGGCCTTGTTGAAAATTGATCTGCGCAAGGATCACGAGAGGTTTTGCATATACGGAGACGGTTCAGCAGCCGAAATACCACAACCTCACAGAATATGTGTTTTCCGCTTACCCTCCACATTCAAAGAGACGTTGTGTGTGAATACTGTATCATGCCAATGGGACACCAGAAGGATACGAACATCAAATCAGCTGATAGTAACCAGCTGTACGCCAATGATTTGCTGCGCTTTTTGTATTTGAGGTTGCACAAACTGTACACACTTTGGATCCCTACTCCGCCGACGTGGGACAACACGACAGGAAAGCATGTGTAAACATGCGGACGAATCCCAGAAGAAGATCCCATGCGGACGATACTTAATCGCCCAGACAACCTTGAATAGAGGTGAAATCTCAACAATTTTGGACCTCGAATAGTTGCGATGGCAACAAATTTGAGTGTAGAGATACCCTTAAAGCCCGAAGCCAAGATTACGGGATGTAACGCCATTCCTGCACGACTAATTGTTTTCCACTATAAAATTTGAGGATTTTCTATGTGTTCTCTCAATAACTCAGCTACGCACCGAGTTGAAACATTCATTGGGTCGTTTGACTCCCGAAAAAGCAAACGGACTCAGTTCGCTACCGCCACCAACAATTGCATGACAATATTCTCGTCATCGGGGACTTCAATATTCCAAGATATTGGTATCGGGTTGGCAGGAAAATAGTCTCAAAGTTGCAATTGGAAATGTTTCACAAAAGCGGCTGTGAAACTCACGAAATGTGCCAACGAAAAGCAGCAATATAATGAAATTAGAATTGCCGTGATTTTGTCAAGACTCGGTCAGCCTTGCATGATCTACAGCATGGCTTCAATGGCTTTCCGGCTTTTAAGTCTTCCACCCAGGCTACCATGTAGTATCTGAGAATAGCAACTTCATTCTCAACTACATTGGTTTGCTCAATGCAATCTTGTCAATATTGTTTACTACTGTTTGAGTTCAAACGGATGGAGCAGAGACATATATCTATGGTACATCGAACACGAAGTCGAAGCCATAGCCATAGCCAAGTTATCCATTCTTAGTCTTATTTAAAATTATTCCATTTTTGACCCTCCAAGAGGCTCATGCCTAACGCCGAGCTGAATTGTCAACCTTCAGATTTCCTATAATATCTATGACACCTTGAGACTACCGTTCTCTTATAAATCCTCTCTCTCTTCTTCATTATCTCCCTTCGTTGGACAACCACAGGTTAATCATTACACAGCATTTGTTTATCATCTCTGTTACACCTCAAAATGGCATGGATGAAGGGACTACTTACTAGAGCAGCTTCGTTGCATGCTTCATTATCTCAATATTCTACTAATGGTCAGTAATCTATAGGTACTAGAATTGAACTTACTGACTTCTATCGTAGGGCGATCTACATATGGGTGTTTGAACGCCTCCACACTTCCTCCATTTCTAGACGATGGTGGTGTATGTTCACTCAGCGTCAAGCACATAAGTTGATTCCTAGCTAACATCCACAAAGTCATATCACGGACACCCTTGGGGAAACGCCAAGCCAGGACCACACCTCCCACCCAATACTGGAAAGACTCGGCACTATGATCTCACAGTATCCAGATCTATCAAAGCACCAGATGGATATCAGAAGAGTGTTATCTTAATAAATGATCAATTCCCTGGACCTCTTATCGAAGCAAATTGGGGAGACACGATAAGCGTCAGAGTCACAAACAACATTACTGACAATGGAAAAGAAGGGCTGAGTCTTCATTGGCATGGCCAACCGCAGAAGCTGAGTCCCTGGGCGGATGGTGTACCCTCCGTATCTCAATGCCCCATTGCCCCTGGAAGTAGTTTCACATACGAATTTCGAGCCGAGTCTTTTGGAACCAGTTGGTATCATTCCCATTTCAGCGCTCAGTACAATGATGGTCTTTTTGGGCCCCTGGTTATTTATGGGTAAGAGAACCTTCATCAACACTTTAAGTCGCTCACTAAAATCTCAAAGCCCCAATCATGTGGATTATGACATCGATCTTGGTCCGGTAATGTTGGTTAGTTATTTTTCCTTTCAATCTTGATTTCACACTGATTTGTTACAGTCTGACTATCTTCATCAATCGTATCGTAGCATGGTTGCAGGCGTCGCGACAAAAGTTCCGAATGGTCCAATATTCCCACACGTTGACAACAACCTAATTAATGGAAAAGGGTCATTCGATTGCAATTCTACTCTGGGTGGGACTTGCACACCGGATGCGGGGCTCTCCAAATTTAAGTTTACCAAAGGCAAGACACACCGTCTCCGACTCATCAACACTGGGAGTGCAGGTACACAAAAATTCTCAATTGATGGACACCAACTTCAGGTTACGACAGTCGATTATGTTCCAATCGTTCCTTACACGACCAACGTGGTAACTCTTGGAATTGGACAAAGAGCTGATGTCTTGGTTCACGCAACGGGAGAATCAACGGATGCTGTCTGGATGCGGTCTGATCTAGATGTTCCGTGCATGCTTCTGACTTGTACGAACCCTCATGGTTTAGCAGCAGTTTATTATGACAACGCAAATACAACACTTGCGCCGACAACGACAGGCGTGTCATGGGATAGTAACGATTGTGCCAATGTCAGCAATCTCACCCCGTGCTGATGACTGAATATGCTGACATAAATCACAGGACCCGTTATATTTAACCATTCCCTACACTGAAATAAGCCCACCCGAGAGCCCGTCCATTACACAGGACATGGAAATCAATGTCAGTGTGAATGGATCCGGCAGCGCTCTTTTCACCGTGAATAATTCGACCTTCCGAGCTGACTACAAGTAAGCTTTACATTCAACACACCTCTTCATACAATGGCTAACCAACCTAGCTCGCCTCTCCTCCTCCTTGCCAGCCAAGGAACTCCCGTCTCAACCCTTCCTCATGACTGGAACATCTACGACTTTTCCAGTCATCCCTCTATCCGCATACACGTCACAAATATCTGGGATACCCCTCACCCTATGCATCTCCATGGGCACGATTTCTTTGTCCTCGCCGAAGGAAAGGGAATCTGGGACGGCACCATCACCAACCCATCTAATCCCGTTCGACGCGACACCGCACTTATGAGACCCGGTACACTATCCGATCCCAGCTTCCTAGTGGTAGAATTTTTCGCGGATAATCCTGGAGTTTGGCCCTTCCATTGTCATACAAGTTCGCATGTTAGTGCAGGGCTTTTGGTGAATATTTTTGAGAGACCCGATTTGGTGGCCGAAGGGAGAGATCAGAGAGGTATGATTCCACAGGTGGTGAAGGAAACTTGCGATGCCTGGAATGCGTACACTAGTGCTGGAGGGGAAGTTGATGAGATTGATTCGGGATTGCGTCGTCGAAGATATTAAGGTGGTAGATGGTGGGAGCTTGCATTTTCTTTTTTCCAATAATGGCTGACCACGAATTGTGGTTCGTTTTCTTTTTCTTCGATTCTTAAATGAGAGTTATTTCATGAGATAATAGTACCGATTGCGGTTCAGGAGTATAGTTGGCAAAGATAGTTTATTTGAACATTTTTTAGTCTCCTAATTAGAAACTTGGTATATGGGAAGGCTATACTTACTGTCATTAAAATGTCCATATTTTCTTAGATTGGTGGATGAAAATAGTATGTGCCGTTTTGGAATCTCAGGACTATAATGTGTTCAAAAATTTACACCGCGGTTCAACAAAAGACTTCTAAATATTCATTTGTTTTAGACACTAAGTGAGTTTTGAAGACTGACTTCACTTTGACATCAAATCTGTTCAAATGACCGTTTAAGAATTCAGTTTTTGAGTAAATTACACAAATGTTACTCTCGTCGCGCTCCAGCTGGCGAATAGCAATTCGATTTTCTTTTCATAAATCAATTCATTCGGTCGTTATCTTAATAAACAAACATACATTCCAGATATCTAAACGTTTATGGGAGGAATCACCTCATTCTATTCTCCGTGCTCATTGCGGACGTATTTCCATTGCCGCATCCAGTTGTCTACACAATTCCCGTCGATCGGATCCATACTCTTCAAGGTTGCGCTTCCCTCGACAGCCTTCTCCGTATCAAGCCAGACCTGTGTTCTGCCTTCTTTCTGTTTTTTGACAAGACCCTCATAAAATCCAAGTATTTTCACTGCTGGGTTATCATTTATTTTCATATCCTGTATATTCGCCGCACTATCACATAGACGCTGTACCCATTCTTGGAAGGGTACAGTGGGAAGGTCTAGAATAGATTGTAGTCGAGGAAGAATAGCATGTGAATATTTTGTTCGCTTTGGGTTGACGAGATGGTAGACTCTGGGTGATCCGGAAGACGATTCGATTGCCGAATCCGGCTCCAGTGTATCGTGATTGAAAGATGACACAAGTTCGTAAATGACTTTCCCAAGTGTATCAACGGGAATCCAGTCAACAGCTTCCAGTGGCCCCAACGACGAAGGTAAAACCTTCAGATATGTTGAAGACTTCAAAATCAAGGGGAACCATTCCTGTTCGTTCCACTTTCCCTCGCTCCTTTTCGGACCAGCAATTTGACCCACTCGGTAAATCGAAGCAGGAATATTGGCAACCTTACAGGCAGTAGTAATCAGCCGCTCGGCAACAAATTTTGATTGGCCGTAACCTAAGCATTGTGGAAGCGACCAATCCTCGTACGGAATCTCAGGAACACCGGGCATCGTCAATACTAGCTCTGTTTCCGACTGCGATGGAGTGGAACGGCCGGAAGAGTCGGACATATTTGATCCACTCACGTCCCAGTTCCCAACAGTGCTAATACTGGAGATAAAGTGAATGGAAGCACCGAATCTTGAGTGAGCAGAGAAATTAATCAACTGACGAACACGTCGAATATGTGTTGCGCCCATTTGGCTGAAAGACATATTAAAGTCAATATGCCAAGCATTGTGAATGATGTGCGTTACTTCATTGAGCAACTCCTTGTATTGGTCAAGCTTTATGCCCAGCCATGCTTCCGTAGCACCAGTAGCCATGCTGAGAAAATGGACACGGCTAAAATCTGTTGAAAGGCCCTTTGACGAGCTGGCATTAACTTGGCGTTCCTCGGTATCTTCGCCTCTATTGATGCAATAAACCTTGCATGTCTTGTCTTCTTCAAGTAGATTGCTAAGAATGTATGAGCCCAAAGATCCAGTAGACCCAGTCAATAAAAATACTCTGGATCCAGTGACTGGTATCGATGGCCTAGCAATGATAGGTAGGTCAGAAACGAAACTTTCGTATTCTTCCTGCATTTCACCATAATTTTCATTTTCGTCTTTGGCGAAATTTGAGAGAGCGCGTGCTAGTTTTTCTGGACTTGGATATGCATATATCATTGAGTCGCGTATCGAATCCCGTGGAGGATCTTGTGATTGGAACGCCGCATTCACTGCCCTTGTTAATGAGATCACGCCTAGCGAGTCCAGCCCATGCTCAAAGAAATTTTCAGAGGGAGAGAAGTTTTCGAATCCTTGGAGATTCGAGATGGTTTGAATGATGGTACCTTGCACGTCAGAGCTTGCGCCCTTATCCACAGAGCTGTTTCCGTTTGTGTTCTTTATATTCGTTCCTTGTCCATTAGTAATTGTTTCATAAAGACTATTGAGCTCTGTTTCATATAGTTTTTCGGCTTGCTTGCGTTGTACTGTACCTTTCCCAGCTCTGGGAAATGGTTTATCAGGTTTGGTAAATGCGACGAAGTCCTTGCTCATTATCCGCGCATGCGCGGGACAACTAACATTTGCAGCCTTTATTGTTGGCCATAATTCTTCTAATAGGGACTCCTTGGACCTTTCGGGATTAACTGGCTCGACTAGCAAGGACGACTGAAATTTCTTAGTACCATAGACTATCGCAGATCTAACTTTAGGATGAGAGTTCAAAGCATTTTCCATGCTAATTGGATTGAACTTCTCCCCTGTAGAATAAACAATAATATCATCAGAACGGCATTCATGGTGCCAGAGGTTGTTTTTGCTGGGGTGCTTGGAAAATAGATCCCGAGTTTTGTATTCTGAAAGATCTGGAAACGTATAGAAAGTGCCCTGATATGCTTCTATCGATGGATCACGAACGATTACAAGCTCATATAGTTCACCTGAGTGATGCCGCATTTCAACACCAAATGATGTAGAAAAGTCATAGTAGTCCCACTAGTTCATGACAGAGTCAGTAGGTATCCAATTAAAGCTGGAAGACCTGAAAGAAATATCCATAAAATAAGTTTAGATGTAAAATGCTTACATTTTCTTTAGGTGGTAAAGCCGCTTGAATATGTCCTGTCTCTGTTGACCCAAACCCCGCAAACAATCGAGTATGAGAATTGATGATGTCTCCGGGGCCATCGGGTAGTGGGCCACCTCCAGTCATGATATATTTTACAGAACGGAGGTTCTTTAAATACTGAGGAACCTTCGATATTTCCACTAGGACGGCAGGAGGGAGATCCGCGACCTGCACTTTACCATGTATATGAACCTCATTTGCTAACTCTGCAGTCAATGGAATAGGCGGTGGAAGCACCGCTATTTGCTTGAAGTATAGAGCAGTCATTAACCTGTAGACGCCCGCAGCATCTGTTCATAATAATGTGTAAGCGAGATTTTCTTTGAATTTCCTTGAGATTGGAAAGCACGTTATAACTTTGGAAAATGGACTTGAAGTCTTGTCTAGAGCTGACCCTGAGCAATAAGAGGGAAGAGTACCTACGAAATAGTGGGAATGCTAAAAAGCACCGTAAGCCTCGCCAATAATCGGATGTTGTGGCAATACCATAAAGTGAAGTAGCCTTTTGAGAGGCATCTAGACTTGTAATAACACCTTGCGGTATGACGATAGGCTTGGGTGTTCCTGTAGTTCCAGACGTATGCATCGCAGCGAGCGGCTGAAATCTCGCCTCTTCATATGTAGCCGTATACTTATAGTGAGGTACATCAAATCCAGGATGAAAAAAGTAATCTAGAGTGGGAACAGCTATGGTTTGAAGGTCGACTTTAGTTTGAATGTCATTGATAATTTTCCGGGATATTGGGGAATCCTTTGCAAACAAGAATTTCTCGCATTTATAATCTCGTAGTAGTTTGGTGTGTGCTTCTAAGCTATTCCGTGGGGATGGTACAAATAGCTACCAAGAGTAAGTCGGCGTGAACGAGGTGTGAACAGGGTGACAGACCTTGTGTCCAGTTTTGATCGCCGCTATCATCAGGAGTATATACCGCAGATCATGGGGACCGATATAGGCAATGCAGTCAAAGTCTTTCCCAATGCCAGCATTCTTTTCAACCCAGTTCGACGCGACATCTATGGCTTTGTCTAAATGACTGAATGTGATGTCCTCGAAGCCATCGCGTGGCTCGGAAGTCAAGGGCCAAGAAATGCATACTCGATGAGGCTCATCAATCGCGGTTTGATGTATATAATGAGCAATTAGTCGTTTTCCACAATCCTGAGGCACTTCTGGAATCGCAATGTCTACCGCCATGTCTATTTCAGGTGGCAGAAGATGGTCAAAATGCAATTTGGTGAAGCTGTTTCGCAAAAGTCAAAATTCGTGTACCTAGAAATTTCGGTCTGTGTCAGTCTATATATATAATTTTCAAGGTCTTTTCGAAATGGTGGGCTCTCAAGCGCTTACTATTGTCATTGGCGCTCTCGATCCAAATATTTTCTCTTTCAACAATTAGCTTAACAACTATGCGATCACCATAAAAGCATCCTAGAGTGTGAATTTGAAAACTAAGTGTAAAGCAAAGGAGGTTATAATAGAACAGGGAAGTTATGTTGGGCAATTCATACATGAGTGACAGATTACTTCAAAGACTTGAAAGACTAGCGAGTCACAATTACCCGAGGGCCGAGAGAAATTGACAGTTAGTATCATCAAACAGTCTCTCAGGTCACCTCCCAAAGGTGATTTGGACAAATTAGGACAATGGGGCATAGGTCTGATTGTTTGGGCGTGGAAGAACATGCCAAAATTGCATCAGCTTGCATGACTAGTAAGGCCATAACCGAGTAATATTGCAGACGTGTTCCTGCATCAGAAGCCGAGATTGTTTGTAGAATCGATCTTAAACTATAAGCAATATTGAACTAGGATGCTTTAGATGGAGTTGTAATCGAGATCTTATCGAGATTGTCATTCCAACTGTGATCGTTGATGTTGTCCGGGCTTCTGTCAAACGACGGAAAATGATCGACTTCAGAAATCCTTGCCTGCAAAATAGAGCACCAATTTCCAGGGATAAGATATGGCCTTGCAGGCTAGATGCATCAACTGAAGAGCAGCGATCTACATGGGAATCTTCTTGACTCAAGTAGTGGAAAATACTGAAATGCATCTCGTATAAAAGTGAGGCAGAAACTAAAATACAAGTCACCGAACAGAAGAGGACATTCGTTCCGGGACAATTTACGGTGTTCGCTTGAAACATGCTGGCAACACAAGAGCGGAAATAAATCTTGGAAGACGCGAATTTCTTGAAAGACACGTCTAAGCGTCTAAGAAATCTTCATATGGCGACATAACCCTATGACGGGAGCACTAGTGATGCAAAAGTCTTATAAGGAGTTAAATTTCTTGAAATAATGATCGAGAGTTCTTGTCCCGGAACCTCTTGAATAATCATTTGTGGTACTGCTGAAAAACAAGTTCGTAGGACAACTGAGCATCATATGTTGGTTCATTGAAGTGAACAAGGGCTCATTATTGATTAGAATGGCGTGTAAGAATGGGGAGTTCGGTGTTATGTGGTTCGAGAGCTGATCGATGTGTTTGATCTGTTCGAGATGTCGAGGATGTGTAAAGTGTCATGAAGAGGAGAGCAGATAGCGCTAACGTTCACCGCCATGTGGCAGTAAATTCAGCCATCTCAGCTGAGTTCATCAATCTGTCTGACAAATGTTATACACCACAAAACATTGATTCGAGTACCAAATTCGTTTGTAACTTGTAAAATATCTGGAATCCTTCTGGTTTCTGGGTATCCACCATGCAGCCCTCAAGATATACGAACAGTTGTCACCACTGTCTTATGATGAGGCTTTAATCCAATATATGCAGATATAGGTCGTGGCTTGCACCGTATAAGACTTCTTTTTCAATAGACATAAGGCAACTCGTTGCGTATTCGACTGATGGCGATACATCCGTTAATGTCGCCCGAATGAACATTGTCGTCGAGGCATTTAAAATTATGACTGATGTATTGCAATCAATATCATTCTTGGCAAGATAAAGCATATGCAAGATGATCGGTCAGGACGGAAACATCAGCACTAAGTTGAATGGACACGAAGATCGTCATACACCATTAATATCCTGGTCGGAACAAAATTTTCAGCAGCGCCGCGTAAACTCACGGAGCTGAGAAGAGGATACATGCTCTCCTAAGAATTTTAACTGGTTCTATGAGGAGTCACTACGAAGAATATAGTAGGTGCCATCGATAAGTAATTGCCAGCAGTAAGAGTGAATTCTCTCAGCTGGGTTCATTGAGACATGGGGTCGCTAGTGTCCCCGGTTCTTGAATTTACGGTGACGTAAATAGATACAGATACAGCTCTTCCAGAGGTATTCTTCTCCTCAGATCTCGGTAATCCTGCAAGCGATCTTTCGTTATGTGTGTAAACTTGATGCAAGGATAAAGTCTTTGATCGTCTGCATACCACCACGCGAGAGCTACATCAGTACCAGATTTTTTATTTGCACCAAACTTGTATAATCAGTCTTTTTACTAGAGATAGTAAAATTAGCCAGAAATACAATCTATCGTCCTCTCAAATTCGTGAGTTTCGGGACTAACGAGTCCTTTCTTCAAAGATGCTGCACTCATTCTTGTCAAGTGATTTGGAATAAACTTGCGCCATTTGTATTGCAAACGTAGACTACACTGAAGAGTTATAGAAGCAGATGCCTCTGGGAGCAAGCCTTTCACCATGCCTCTAAGTTATCACATACTTGACTTCTTTCGCGGAATCACTATCATTATTCTATGGATGGCATGGTCCGTTACTTTGCGGTTTTGTCATTCTTCAATACATCCACGGTTTGCATGTTTGTTCGCGAATTTGCATGGTATTTTGATCACCTCCTTCAACATCATGGATTAATCACCGACATCATTCCTATTTAACAATAGCTGCCCCAAACTCTCTCGATTTTCTCAAGGCAGCTTTGGAGCTTGTACTTCTGACACGTGTTATTAATCTCGTCTCCAAAACCATTGACGAATGAAGACATTAGACGAACGGTATAGTACTTTTTCAGTGTTCTGTCTTATGAAATGGCTCAATTGTTATGCCGAATTAAAAAACGTTCCCGCTTCCAGAGCCAGTGGTCAACCAGCCGCCACACCTACGCAAAGCTACTCTAGTGCTCCATGCTCCTAATAAACGATGAATAACGAACACAATGAGTGTATGCGGGACTCAAGTCCTGTGGTTCCTGCACATATTTATCCATCAGCATGTATCGATTGCATACTCGAAGGTCAATTTACAATACATGCGTTGGATTGAGGTTGAAAATTACTCCTTGGTTGACGCCATTCTTTAGGATCGTTTGATCCTTCTAGAAAGATCATCATATTATCTGATATATAATAAGCCCTCGAAAATACCCTCAAATTGTTCAAGGAACTAGCTAGGTATTAAATATGTACTATTCGACTGCACTTCTTAACGTTTATGAGTCCATGCACCTACTGTAGCCATCCCGGAGACGAGCGTAGAAGAGTTTCGCTGACATTGATCGGGACCTTCTCCCCGCTAACATTACCAAAGTTATATACATCTATCAATTTACCCGAACCAAACCATTCTATTTCTATTTTCCATTGCGAGAACCGCAAGCAAGGACCTCTATCTCAAAAGTTGAAACCATTCTCCTTCCGTTTTCCCCAAATTGATGTTGAAAATAAATAGAGCAATTCTTTTCCAGATCTACTATCCAAAACGCCTTAACGAGCGAACAATCTCCAGAGAAGTGTATGAAGAGGGCATTAATCCGTAGTTGGTAATACCAAGGATTCTGAGGCGACAATAATTTGTCCTCAGGCCTGCCCGTATACCCCGTAAGAGTATTACACGTTCAGAAGATTCTCAATAAACAAGTGTGTTTCTGTTTGCTAGAAGTGCTGATATCGACGGTACACAATACTGCTGTCTCTCTAACAATGACAAACGGTGGCATACATGAGGTGTCTCATACGAGGGCCGCAACTTGAGCCATGAAAGAACAGAGTATGAAGATCTGACCATGATCTATGATTTTAGATCTTGCTACAGGCTTTAGGGGCATCAAATGCCCTTTCGAGTTAAACGAAGCTGTGGGTAATCTTTTTCTCGTCTCATATCGAGCCAATTTAGACTGCAGATGAGTTTTCGTCCCAGCATCACCATATATCATCGGAATTCACCATATGGTTATCGTATCTATCTGCCCGTCTTTGTCCTGAGAATGAGTATTAGCTTGAGAACATCCAAAAAAACCACCTTCTCACGGTAGCTCGTATTGGCCGTCTCAATCCCCGTGTCGACAAGTTGTATCTGCGGCCCATTTATCATCGGGCTTCAGCTCAAACTGTTATACATACGACCTTTGAACAACCAAAGATAATTCTCTGAACCATATTATCAATAAGAAAGACAACACTTACTCGCTTCCTCAGCATCTCTTCTCCACTTTTTAAAATCATGCCAAAACTCCCACACCCTCCCAAACACCCTTCCCAATCTCGATCGGATCTTAGCCATGGTATTTCTCTTTTGGAATTTCTTCTCTCTCCGACTTTTTGCTGCCTGTCCGGCGCATCTCATTGTTTCTAATCAGCGCACAGATTAGCAAGTTTCTCTTGCACAACATCGAAGTGTTTACATACCAGATATTTGCAATCCAAAAGTCGAACTTCTAATGGAAGACATTGATATCACCTCTCCGACTCATCAATTAGACAATTGCCAAACAAGCCAGCAACAAAAAGAAGAAATGTAAGAAGTAATCAAGCTTTTTCTTCTACCACTCTATTCAACGCCACCAACTCGTTAAAAATAATGGGGACAGGCACAGAAGAAGAAGGCGTCGTGAAAGCTTAGCCAACAATCTGATATGATTCGTACAACTGTTATATAAACAACATACACAGAGGCGTGGCTTCGGTACAATGTAACGGAAGAATCAAACAGTTAAATAAGCTTATTGTAATGGTTGGTGTAACATTGATAGAATAGATAAGGCTGAATCCGACTATATCTACCCCGCTAGGTAATAGAGAATCGAACATGAGGTAGACGAGAGAAGCTTCCTTCTTACCCAAGTACGCCTCGATATTGTGTTAGAAGACCAGCATTGAAAGCAGACAAGCGGGCTAGGAAAAGCAAAAGAATCAGTCAAAATGAATGATAGAATTGATACCCATCTTTACAGCCCCCTCTATTTATTAAATATTCCTTCGCAGAGCCTCGGCGATGCATTCCATCCCT